TCTCAAACTGTTTTTTTTTTCTTTTTTCTTTTTAATAAATCCGTTGGTTGTGTACTGATTGATACTTACGGCTGGGAGAACAAGATTTATTTCAATATAAGTTGTTATTAGCTTTGAACAAACTTCCAGTAATTGCAAATACTCTTATTTCGGTGCTTTGTGTCTATTGTCTTAATGTAAGTTTTTTTTTTTTTTTTTTTGTATCTCGTACCGATCTTTTGAGTTAATCTAATTGCAGTTGATTTGTGCAGGTTGTTCTTATATTGTACTGTTACACCATTGTCCCAGCTTCGGGAAGGGTTGAGCGCTCACAAACATGTTCTTGTACTGTTACACCACTGTCCCAGGTTAGGGGGCGGGTTGGGCCGGATCTCGCTAACATGTTTAACCCCGCAACATTCTGTATGTATGTGCTTGTCCCAAGTCAGGAGCCTGTAATTTAATGGTTGTCGTTTGTTGCTGTGTTACATATTTGTTTTTCGTTCATTTTTTTGTACATTAATCAGACCGTTAGTTTTCTCGTTTGAATTGTTTTACATTTGTGATTGCGGAGCCTTTTATATCTGACTATGCGGTATGGGCATTGCTTATTGTTGAAGGCCGTACGGTGACCTACAGCTGTTAATTGCTGTGTCATTTGGTCTCTTGTCTCATTGGCAATCTTCGTTTTTATATCAACACTGCCATATTCTTTGTGTGCCTATCCCAAGTCAGGAGCCTATAGCTTAGTGGTGGTCGTTGGTTCATGCCTCGACTCATATTTGATATTTTGTAAATTATTTTGTTATGTATAATTAGGCCGTTAGTTTTTTCGTTTGAATTGTTTCTCACACTTTTCACGTCGGGCCTTTTATAGACGACTTTTAATACAGTATCGGGTTTTGTCATTGTTGAAGGCCTAATAATTTCTTACATCCACTTCATATTTGAACTCCGGTGGATAGTTGCCTCATTAGCAATCATATACATCTCTTCGTTTTTATATTATATACCCGACTTTTAAACTCGTGTTTTCCTGAACCGAGTCCTGAACAGGCATGACATATTTGTCACTGGGCGTTAAAAATTAGCAACAAACAATCAATCAATTTAAACTTGTGTTAAATAAGAAGAAAAACCATTTGATATTTATTCATTTATTGGGGTGGGGGACAGGAGGATTTCATATATGAATATGGTTGCCTGGTAAGAGCTGAAAATTAGGCATAATTAGCGACAGATTAAAAAAGTTAATAATGCCCTCTTCCCTTCCCCATCCTTCATCTATAAATTTAAACTGACCACCACGGAATAGCCCAACTTAGTGTTGAAAGTAGCGTTAAACACCAATCAATCAAAATCCCTTCCCTAGAATATCAAATAGTCGTCCCTGAACTGTTATTGTCCGTGTAGTTCTTATATTTACCCAGCTTATCGTCCTACAGGGATGTCCTACTAAGACTGTCATACCATAAAAACGTTTATAACACAGCTCACATTCTAATATATCTGCATTCATAAATTTATTAATTTCATTTAGACTAAACGACGCCATGTTTGTTATGTGCCTCTGCCGTCTAAACTACCTATCAAAAAAGAAGAGGTGGAAGAGAGCCAGAAGATCTTCCCTATTCAAAAAAACAGAAGTGGACCTCTTCTGGCTCACTACCGAAGAACAAAAAAACACGCCCTTGTATTTATATTCTCGTTCCCTGTACACGATGCGTTTATTTATGGGTGACTCGCAGAGCTAACAAGAGTCAGTTTTTCGGTTTTGAACAGTTGGAAGGCATGAGTACCATGAATTCCTAACTGTATACAAAAAAGGTCAGTGGCGTACCCAAGCAGTTAATGATAGGCAGCAGAATTTTCGGCAGGGGTTTTGGGGGCCGCCTCAGACTCCCAGTGAGTCGCGGGCAGAGTGAAAACCACCGGAAGCGTGTTTTCAGACAAAGTGCTTGTCACACCTTATCGCTATTTGTCCGGCATTAGCCATTACTGGACATCACAAAAGTTCCCGTAAAATTTTGACGTCATAATAGAAATATCTGATGCCACAATGGAAAAGTGATTGTTGTATGACGTCAAAAGTTCAAATGGGACAGATAAACTTTATCGAGGGTAACACGAATCACCAAATAACACCGTTATTAGCCAAATAACACTTGTAATCACCGAATAACACTTGAAATTTTAATATTAGCACATATTGGTGACATTTTAACATTGACAATTAAATAATATTGTATTATAAGTGTATTTTATAACTTAAAAATGATTTATAGAAAGCAGGTAAGTTCATAAAGATCGCATTAAATATTAGTGTGTACATCCAACATGGCGACCAAGGAAAACACAATGGGAAGAATAAAAGAATGATTGCATACAATCCCTCAACGTGTTCATTTTAGACCACCAAAGTGGAGCCCTCATGCCACATCAAGGCAATGAACAATGTGAGGGTGGGCGCCTCCCCTTTTAAAAAAATATGGAATATTTAACTGTTTACAATAATAATTTTTGTTTTTTTTAATATTATATTTTTTAATTTAAAAATGGAGAGTAACCAAGCCCTTTTAAAACTACTAAGATATCCTGCACAAGGCACAGGCTTATCTGTTATAGTCCGCGAAAACAATTTATTTAGAATTTTATTGTGAAAAATTAAAACTACTCAGATATCCTGCACAAGACACGGGCTTATCCGTCATAGTCCGCGAAAACAATTTATTTAGAACTTATTGTTAAAAAATATTTTCTTCCAGTTGTACCTGAAAACATGCGCAACAATACTATACATGCATTATTTATCCAGTCTATAAAACAGCAATGGGGAACAGTAAAAGAAAAATGCATTAAACACAATACAAATTAACTGCACCTATGCTTCATATTTGCAAGAAAATATTTTTTAACTCTGTTATTCATATTTTACCTTAAATATGCTGAACATTTTGGTACTCGGACATCATTTTGTACATTATTTCAAGCCAACTAATGTTTATCGGACGGAATACGAAGCTCGCGACGGGATACATTTCACTGAAGAAGGCTACCGTGCCTTCTTAGTAGCTTTGAGGAAGTCGGTCAGTTGGTTGATTAACAAAGTGAGCAAATGAACTGAAATATTTTCTCATTGACTCCACGTGAAATGAATTTTGTTCAAGAAGAAGAAAAATTTTTTAACATGATCTAATGTCTTTTGAATTTTGCAAAAAAAAAGTATTTTATTAAACAGAAAAAAACTCGCGTTATTTCGCAAAGGTTTGCGTTATATCGCAAAAGGTTTGCGTTATTTTGCCAAGGTTTGCGTTTAACGCAAATGTTTGCGTTATAACGCAAACATTTGCGATAAAACGCAAACCTTTGCGAAATAACGCAAACCTTTGCGTTATAACGCAAACATTTGCGATATAACGCAAACCTTTGCGAAATAACGCAAACCTTTGCTTTTGATAACGCAAACATTTAAAGGAAGCAGCTGTTATTAATGGAGGAGGCTGCATATAATAAAATTTATCCCCTATGTACTCATTGCAAAGTAAAATGCTTGAATATTTAGAACATATCATTGGCTAATAATGAGCAGGATGATAGATATAAGAAAATGTGGCATAAGTGCCAATGAGAAAATTCTCCATCTAAGTCACAATTTGTACAAGTAAACCATTATATGTCAAAGTACGGTCTTCAACACGGACTATTGGCTCACACCGAACAGCAAGCTATAAAGGGCTCCAAAAATGATATACATGATACTTCATGTATATATATTACAAAGAACATTGAGTAAATCGAAGTTATACCGAAGAAAATAAAAAATCAACCCTGCTAATATAGCTACAGCCGAATACAAATATACTTCCAAAGTAAGCTCTCGTTTGAGGATTGTGTAAGGTTGAATGGTTAAATTCAAACAAGTTACATGTACCCTTTTGCAATAAATGTATAAAATGAAGATGTTTTATTTATAAAATTATGTTCTCTCCATTAAAATTGCTACCCAAGCATATTAAAATGACCTCACTAGATTGAAATGAAAATTTCATGACTTTTTATCAAAGAATCTTTATCATATTCTGAGATTTAAAAAAAAAATGATTTCTTACATGAAAATTAAAAAAAAATGATTCTTTCTTAATAATTCATTTTACAGCAGAAAGATCATATTGTCTATTTGACTTGACAGTTTTGTTATATTATATACTTTTCTGATCCCTTATTCCTATGCATATTCATTATAATGATTTGGCCTTGTATTTATGGTTCTTTTCTTAACTAAATCACTTAATGACAGACGGACATATATACAAAACTTAATGAATAATTGAAATCAATATGTTTGCGTTATAACGCAAAGGTTTGCGTTATTTTGCAAAGGTTTGCGTTAAATATCGCAAAGGTTTGCGTTATAACGCAAAGATAGGAAGAAAATTATAAAAAAAAAATTGTGTGGCGCTAATACGCTTCCGTAAGATACTTGCAAATATTTAAAACTCTAATAATTACATTATCGCTAATATAACATAATACTACATTGGTTATTTCATAAAAGTTTGAAATCTATCTGTCGTCCATAAAAGACATAAAAACTCAAACCTTGAAACTAAAAACGTTCGCACACAGTTCAAGATCTTATGAATATGAAATTTTATCAAGTAAAAAACAACGTTCTTTCATAATGTCTGAAAGAGATTTTTCCCGATCTTATCTTAACAATTACCTAAAGCAAGGACGTATAACTAACATACATCTAATATACGTCCTTTGATTATACGAATTACAAAATATATTCACATTCACAAATAGGATTCAGAAATAAGCAAAAAGTGCTTTTAAGTCGTTCCAGGGAATTTACTGTAAATACACGTATCGCGTTATCCAACGACCAACACTGGTTTCTGATAAGGACGAAAGTTTGGAGGGACGAGTTAAACTTCTTCTCAGGAAAAACCCGCTCTGTGTATTTTTTGAAGCAGAATAAACCAATCATAATCTGGGTTAATTTTAGTCTTGTATTTATATTCTCGTTCCCTGTACACGATGCGTTTATTTATGGGTGACTCGCAGAGCTAACAAGAGTCAGTTTTTCGGTTTTGAACAGTTGGAAGGCATGAGTACCATGAATTCCTAACTGTATACAAAAAAGGTCAGTGGCGTACCCAAGCAGTTAATGATAGGCAGCAGAATTTTCGGCAGGGGTTTTGGGGGCCGCCTCAGACTCCCAGTGAGTCGCGGGCAGAGTGAAAACCACCGGAAGCGTGTTTTCAGACAAAGTGCTTGTCACACCTTATCGCTATTTGTCCGGCATTAGCCATTACTGGACATCACAAAAGTTCCCGTAAAATTTTGACGTCATAATAGAAATATCTGATGCCACAATGGAAAAGTGATTGTTGTATGACGTCAAAAGTTCAAATGGGACAGATACACCTTATCGAGGGTAACACGAATCACCAAATAACACCGTTATTAGCCAAATAACACTTGTAATCACCGAATAACACTTGAAATTTTAATATTAGCACATATTGGTGACATTTTAACATTGACAATTAAATAATATTGTATTATAAGTGTATTTTATAACTTAAAAATGATTTATAGAAAGCAGGTAAGTTCATAAAGATCGCATTAAATATTAGTGTGTACATCCAACATGGTGACCAAGGAAAACACAATGGGAAGAATAAAAGAATGATTGCATACAATCCCTCAACGTGTTCATTTTAGACCACCAAAGTGGAGCCCTCATGCCACATCAAGGCAATGAACAATGTGAGGGTGGGCGCCTCCCCTTTTAAAAAAATATGGAATATTTAACTGTTTACAATAATAAATTTTGTTTTTATAGTTATTAAAAAATTAATATTATATTTTTTAATTTAAAAATGGAGAGTAACCAAGCCCTTTTAAAACTACTAAGATATCCTGCACAAGGCACAGGCTTATCTGTTATAGTCCGCGAAAACAATTTATTTAGAATTTTATTGTGAAAAATTAAAACTACTCAGATATCCTGCACAAGGCACGGGCTTATCCGTCATAGTCCGCGAAAACAATTTATTTAGAACTTATTGTTAAAAAATATTTTCTTCCAGTTGTACCTGAAAACATGCGCAACAATACTATACATGCATTATTTATCCAGTCTATAAAACAGCAATGGGGAACAGTAAAAGAAAAATGCATTAAACACAATACAAATTAACTGCACCTATGCTTCATATTTGCAAGAAAATATTTTTTAACTCTGTTATTCATATTTTACCTTAAATATGCTGAACATTTTGGTACTCGGACATCATTTTGTACATTATTTCAAGCCAACTAATGTTTATCGGACGGAATAAGAAGCTCGCGACGGGATACATTTCACTGAAGAAGGCTACCGTGCCTTCTTAGTAGCTTTGAGGAAGTCGGTCAGTTGGTTGATTAACAAAGTGAGCAAATGAACTGAAATATTTTCTCATTGACTCCACGTGAAATGAATTTTGTTCAAGAAGAAGAAAAATTTTTTAACATGATCTAATGTCTTTTGAATTTTGCAAAAAAAAAGTATTTTATTAAACAGAAAAAAACTCATATCAAATAAGTTTATAAATAATTTTTTTTTTTATTTTTATTTTCTGAAGAAAATTTTTATTATTCTAAATAATCAAAATTCTTTGTGAAACAATAAAGCTTATTACACTTTTACAGAAGATATAGTTAGGAAGTACATATATTGTATATAGTTGTAAATATTTATTTGTGTTCTTTTTTCTTAATTATTATTATTGGTTTTGGTAATGCAGCCTTGGTATACCAAGACAGTCACAAGCCTGTTTAATGCAGAGTGTCCATACCGTAATATAATTTCCTTATCATTTAATAATTAATTATGTAATGGGCACGTATCAGTAAACAACAATCTAATTAACAATATGATAGAATTGTAAGGTAATAAATATTTTGATAATTGGGAACTTGGCATTATCACAATTAAATTATCTAATTGGCAAAAAATATTTCATTATTAAACTTAATTTAATGTATTCAAATGGATGAACATAGCAATAAAAAAAAATTAAACTTCTATACTATGAATTTTAATTTTATTTTTCCTTTACTTTTATTCCTGAATTATGTATTAAAATGGATGAACATAGCAATAAAAAAATAATTAAACGTCAATACTAAGAATACTATTTTTTCTTGGCCATGTCGTACTTGTTGTCTGTAAAGCAGCAGTCCTTACATTGGAACTTTAGAGACACATCTGACCAGGCCGATAACATTGAATCATTCATTGGGACACAAGCACTGTGAACCAACGATCACAACTACTGCACTGAATTGTGCAATCAACACATTCTTCATCACATTGAACACAAGGATATAAAGCCATTTTAAAAATGGAAGACAGCACATATGTCTTCACATGTTTTTATACCAAATTTTAGTGACTTGTAAAAACATTAATATTTGCCAATGAAAATCTTTAATTTCTTTTTGAGAAAATACACACATACGAATCATCCATTCAGCTGCTTTGTTTTTATTATAAAACAATCAAGTATAATTAATTTTTTGATTAAATTTAAATTAAATATGTGAAAATTCTTAATTACGTTTCATTCAATTTTGAGTAAATCGTTAAGAAAACTAATTGGTGATTGGAGTTTTTGCATGGCTTTGATGTACTTGTTAACTTTTCGAAACCTTACTGAAAAACAATTATTGGACAATACTCTGTATATACAGTACATTATTTAATATTTTATTTTCATAGCTTTTCCCTTTGTATGCATATGCAATCATTCTTTTATTCTTCCCATTGTGTTTTCCTTGGTCGCCATGTTGGATGTACACACTAATATTTAATGCGATCTTTATGAACTTACCTGCTTTCTATAAATCATTTTTAAGTTATAAAATACACTTATAATACAATATTATTTAATAATCAATCTTTAAATGTCACCAATATGTGCTAATATTAAAATTTCAAGTGTTATTCGGTGTTTACAAGTGTTATTTGGCTAATAACGGTGTTATTCGGTGATTTGAGGTACCGCCTTATCGATATTTGGTAATATGTCCCGCTCGACCCGAGAATCTGTCCCGCTTGAACTTTTGACGTCGTACAACAATCACTTTTCCATTGTGGCGTCAGATATTTTCTATTATGACGTCAAAATTTTACGGGAACTTTTATGATGTTCAGTAATGGCGGACAAATAGCGACAAGGTGTATATTCTCGGGTCAAGCAGGACAGATTTCCAAATAGCGATAAGGTGTAATGTATTTAGTATTATATTTTCAGCAAGACATTAGATGGTTTACATCATTTCTGGAATCATGTCTTTCACTGGAAAAGATCGTCAATTTCGCAAGCCTTTATGGCGTCATTTACCAGATAGAAGGCACGCCTGTATCCTTGCTCTATTAAAAGTTTCCAGCACTTTCATTATCATCAGTCTGTAGGGTAGTGTAGAAATAATTTATGTTCCGTAAGTACGTAATCTTGATTCCCGTACGACTGAGGGAGGGTGACCATCTTATTACGGTAGATTTTAATTACCCAAATATTTTGTGCAGTATAAAATCAAACTTATACCCAAATATTTTGTGCAGTATAAAATCAAACTTTTTCACCCGTTTGCTCAACATGTGTTGGAAGTGACGATGCATACATTTTGGTCACGTGGTGATGGAAGTCACATGACAGATTCGTCTAAAAACCGTATACGGCAGTTTGCTTTAAGGTCACTGGTGAACTGGTGTGGTTCTACACTTTCGACAATCTGCTACATTTCATTCCTTTTTTAATTGCATTTACCTGATTTTATTTCATAAACGGCAGTTTAAAATTTCTTTAGCAAGAACAAAATTTGGACAAGTGGTTTTCTCTTTCGAACACGTAAATTATCATGGTCTCGTGCCTGAAGGGCAATTTGTTAAAAACTGAATAGAAAAAAAAACCCAACATACTTGTATAATTTCATGTGAATATTTTATAACTTCCAGCTGGGAAATAAAGTAAGTTTTGCTTCATCACAGATTAACATCACCACAAAGATACATGTAATAATGGCTTTAAATGGACATGATGAGACATCAGAAATTCCAAAGAAAATTCCAAGAATAGAACCTAGTGAACTGGAACAGTTTGATGATCTCTTTCCTGAACTTGTAAATATCTTGCATCAGAAATGGTCAGACAGTAAAGAAATTACTGATGCTTTAAATTGGTTTACAGAGGTACAGTATAAAATATTTAATAATATGACTCATCATGAACATGTCCTGCATGTAAAATCATGAAAATCAGGGTGATTTAGGGCTGCCATATATAGTATAGAGAGCTGTCTATTGTTGTAGACCTTATTTTGTAAGCAGGCATAGGGTAATCATAATCAGCTGTAATCGATTACATTTTGTAATGGAATCACATGTAATCAGTACATGATTACATTGTCAAAATGAGATACTTTAAAGAAAAGTAATCTAATGTAATCAATAACATTTGTGAATTTAGATGTAATTATAATGTAAACAATTACATTAAATTAGCAAAATAATTGTCAATGTAATATAGACAGTGCTTAAGCTAAAATATTTAACAGTGTTTGAAACAGTAAGTTTTCTAGCAAAAGGACTTTATTAATGCTTAAAAACTATGCATAACTATTGTTATTGTTTGTTACTTTTCATCTGTTGATCATGTTATAAATGTATAGCATATTTTCTTCTTATATATCTACTCCAATGACATTGAATACAAATAAGAAAGATGGAGGCATGAACAAAACACTGTGCTTTAATTTTCTCTTTGTACTCAAAGGAAAGGTTAAATCATAGTACATTTACTTTATAAACAAGCAGTCAACAATCAAAATCAAAACAATAAACAGAATCTCCTCAAAAATTCTTTCAACTGATATCATTCAAATAGACAGACTACAAGGGTACTGTAAACACATAAATATATTACATTCAGATGGAAGATTGAAGAAAAAACACACAAAAAAGACCATTTTTACATCAACAAAAATGTCGATAAAAAACTGATATTGTATAATTATCATATTATATCCCTGTCAACAATTTTGACATTTTATTGTAAGGTGTACATAATTCCTGTTTGCCAAATGGTCTTTTAGTTAACAATTGTATGTCTCAATCTTAATTTACATGAACTTTGATTTTTTGTAGGTCTCTGAATACAATGTACCATTTGGTAAGAAAAATCGTGGAATCTCAGTAGTAACAACATACAAACTTCTGGTAGAAGACGTTTCCAATGAGGACATAAAACTAGCTAGAATTCTAGGATGGTGTATAGAATGGGTAATTACTATTACACTGTTGATAAGATGTATGTTTGTAGGTCAAAGTAGAAATCTTTAGAATTCTTTTTATTATTTATGGCATCTGATGAGAAGGAAAGACCAAATTATAATATTTATACAGTCAAACCTGCTTTAACGATCACATTGTTTCAGCAGTCACCTGCCTCTAAAGGTCACTTTCAGACCCTCCCAAACGTTTTCTATATATAATTAAAATCTTTTCAGCAGTCATCTGTCTAACGAAGTCAGCGGTCACCCAATTTCGCACGAACTTTTAACATCAGTCATTTTCATGTTTTTAACAACCAAAATAAGATCATTACCAAAAATATGTGTTCAATATTGAGATCAATTGACAATTGTTTGCACCCATGATTGTGCAATAGGAGATGAATTTGTGAATTTCTCATGTTCTACTCCTTTCAGTTTCTATTGAAAACTTTAGCATCAACTTATCACTCAATAAATATTAACTATTTCGAATGTTCTCTTAAAATTTAGAGCTTTGGGAACCGCCATTTTGTATTTGCCTGGTCGCACAAACGATAACTCTACAGATCAAAAACACTCACTCAATTTGCCCTGATCCCGGCCACGTGAGATGTCCAAGTCGGAATATTTGGAACCTCATTTAAAAGGTCACCTCTCTTGAGCGACCACTTTTGATACTTCCCATGAGTGACTGCTTAATACAGGTTTGACTGTACTTACAAAGTTGATCAAGAATAAATTACATAACATTTATTAAGTCTCCCAAACGAAGTTTGGGAAGACTTATTGTTTTTGCTCAGTTCTTATTATTATTATTATTCTTCTTCCTCTTCCTCTTCCTCTTCCGCCGCTTTTAAATTTGAACTTGTCCGCACCCGTTCTCCAAAACTGCTTGTCAGATTAACTTAGGGTTTCACAATATGTTAGACTAACATGTCTAGTGGTGCAATCAGGGTTTTGTTTGTGCAATGGGGTTTATAAAGGGGTACTTTGAGGGGCAAAAAGAAAAGAGGGTTTTACTATAGAACCCTATGGGATTTTATTTTTTTTAATTTTCAAATGATTATAAATTGAAAACCGTTTGTGATAGACACAATCTTTTTAATTGAAAATGTTCTAAATGATAAAACCCATTAAATGAAATACAGGGTTAGTCCCCAGGGGTCATCCCCACCCCCTGCCATTTAAGAAAGTTCTAATACCTTGTAAGTGGTCAAGATCCCCACCCCTAAACCATATATATTCTGGTTTGTCATGCTAAGATGGTTTGAATGATATACAGGGTTAGTCCCCAGGGGTCATCCCGACCCCCTGCCATTTGAGAAAGTTCTAATATCTTGAAAATGGTCGAGATCCCCACCCGTAAACCATATATATTCTGGTTTGTCATGCTAAGATGGTTTGAATAATATACAGGGTTAGTCCCCAGGGGTCATCCCGACCCCCTGCCATTTGAGAAAGTTCTAATATCTTGTAAATGGTCGAGATCCCCACCCCTAAACCATATATATTCTGGTTTGTCATGATAAAGCACATGAAATGAAATGCAGTGTTAGTCCCCAGGGGTCACCCCCACCCAATGCCATTTAAGAAAGTTCTAATATCTTGTAAATGGTCGAGATCCCCACCCCTAAACCATATATATTCTGGTTTGTCATGATAAAGCACATCAAATGAAATACAGGGTTAGTCCCCAGGGGTCATCCCGACCCCCTGCCATTTGAGAAAGTTCTAATATCTTGTAAATGGTCGAGATCCCCACCCCTAAACCATATATATTCTGGTTTGTCATGCTAAGATGGTTTGAATGATATACAGGGTTAGTCCCCAGGGGTCATCCCGACCCCCTGCCATTTGAGAAAGTTCTAATATCTTGTAAATGGTCGAGATCCCCACCCCTAAACCATATATATTCTGGTTTGTCATGATAAAGCACATCAAATGAAATACAGGGTTAGTCCCCAGGGGTCATCCCGACCCCCTGCCATTTGAGAAAGTTCTAATATCTTGTAAATGGTCGAGATCCCCACCCCTAAACCATATATATTCTGGTTTGTCATGCTAAGATGGTTTGAATGATATACAGGGTTAGTCCCCAGGGGTCATCCCGACCCCCTGCCATTTGAGAAAGTTCTAATATCTTGTAAATGGTCAAGATCCCCACCCCTAAACCATATATATTCTGGTTTGTCATGATAAAGCACAAGAAATGAAATACAGGGTTAGTCCCCAGGGGTCACCCCCAGCCCCTTCTATTTAAGAAAGTTCTAATATCTTGTAAGTGGTCAAGATCCCCACCCCTAAACCATATATATTCTGGTTTGTCATACCAAGATGGTTTGAATGATATACAGGCTTAGTCCCCAGGGGTCACCCCACCCCCTGCTATTTAAGAAAGTTCTAATATCTTGTAAGTGGTCAAGATCCCCACCCCTAAACCATATATATTCTGGTTTGTCATACCAAGATGGTTTGAATGATATACAGGGTTAGTCCCCAGGGGTCACCCCACCCCCTGCTATTTAAAAAAGTTCTAATATCTTGTAAGTGGTCGAGATCCCCACCCCTAAACCATATATATTCTGGTTTGTCATGCCAAGATGATTTGAATGATATACAGGGTTAGTCCCCAGGCATCACTAATGCATTAACTTTACTGGACCAAACCAATTTTCACTGGACTTTGTCCAATGCCGGGCGACACTGGGAATTACGAATTATGGGAGCTTCGTTTGGGAGACTTCGTAACAGCATCCTGTTACAATCATTTCTTGTTTTTATTTTATATTGATATGAAAACGATCTCAAAGTTACAGTTAAACTAGAAGAACTTGTAGGATGAAGATGAATTCATGATTATATGACGGAGATGACCTAAGCTGCATTTGGCAAACCTTTCAGAATTTTGAGTCTTGAAAATGCTCTTCAACTTAGTACTTTATTTGGCCTTTGTAATCTTTTTTGATTGGAATGTCAGTAATGAATCTTTTGTAGACCAAACAGGTGTCTGGCGACAAAACTTTTAGCCTGGTATCTGTGATGAGTTTATATATATATTTCTATGAAATTGTTTCAGCTACAGGCATTTTTCTTGGTTGCTGATGACATCATGGATAAATCTATAACTAGAAGAGGAAAGCCATGCTGGTATAAACAGGTAAAACTGGTTGAATTTTTCATCAGAATATGTTAAGCTAGAAATAAAAATGTAAATTATATACACAGTGAAATGTTCTTTAATAATAATTTTAAAGTATGAAATTATATGCTTTTAAAAAGTTCTTACCGGGTACATGTAGTAAACGATAAAAAAAGATATGACAAAGTGGTAGTATACATATCTGTGTTAAGGTCTTGAAAAACGGATATTTGAAATGAGATTAGTACAGCCTATTGTAGCATAAAAGTAACTATCATGACTATAATGAGTTTAGAAACAAATTTTTACAAACCCTGTCCCAAAATAGTTCCATTTATACCATACACTGCTTTATCAGTAATAGTCTGTCTCTACATCAGTATTAGTCTGTCTCTACAGATTGACGGGTTAAAAGTCGATAAGTGCTGACATTTAATAATGTGCAATGCAGGGCTTCCAAAACTATTTTTAGCCAGCCGGACAATTCATATATTATCCCGATTTTAATCCCTTAAGACTAAATAAATAAAAGGCAATTATGGTAATCAGTTGCCGAGTTGGCCATCCCAATGATTGACATTAAAAAAAACGATATTTAACTTTCTTTGATTCAAATTCGAAGTTTCTGACGTAAACTGATAAATTGGCAGTGCATCATTTGAAGTGTGCAACATCAGTGTACTTATATCTGCATTAGACTCTTTATTTGTGCAAAATAACGTTGTCAAAAACTTTACTTTCGTTTTTATACCGGATGTTATCTTGACAATGGTAAAACATGGACCAGAGACGGATACGTAAATTCCGTGTACGTTTGCAAAGCGTGAATGAGTGGAAGTAGCTCTTTCTACGTTATTTCTTCACGAAAATAATTGAAATAAACGTGAGATGATGATGATGGGAGTTTTTAATGATCTTGACTGGCTATACAGCCCTCGCACGGTTGGCCCTGGCTTGCGCCTTTTTGGGCATTTAAATAATTTGTTTTTACCATAGGGTAATTGAATAATTTGAGTGATAAATATAGAAACGTGAGATAAAGGTATCAATGACAATTTAAGCATTTTTTGAAGAAATTAGGATGCATAATTAAATTTCATATCTGTGCACATGCGCACACGTGTACTTGTTCAAACAGAGACAGAGACAACGTGGTTATGACGATTTTTCATTTTCACCTTTTTAATTTTTTCATCAAATCATATTTGTAAACGTATTTCTAATAATTTAAATCTTTAAACTAAATTAATTAGATGCAAACCGCTGAAATGTAAGAAAATAACTTTGAATAGACCGATCAATGTCCGGTTCAAAATAGTTTACCTGTCACCTGAACAGGTAAATTTCAGCTGTTTGACAACTAATTAGCCTTGATTAAAATGAGAAGGTATTAAAGTAGGGGTTGTTTTGATAGTACATTGTACTTAATGATCATGTCACTTTTATGACCGGAAATGTGTGGCTGTTAAAGGCAAAACGTTGGGTCAAAAAGATCGCGAATTATGTTAAAATGACCGTCTCTTCAAGCCTTGAAAACTAAAAAGTAGATGACCGTTTCATGCTTTGCCCAGCCGGACTTTTACCGGACATTATACAAATGTCCGGCATATATGACCGTTTTGGAAGCCTTGGTGCAATGTATTTCTTCACTACGTCAAATATCGATAAAAATATTGTTGTAGTAATTAAAGTATTTTAGACATTTCAGTCACTGGCCTTCTTTAGTTTCTATATTATATTTAAATACAATCATCTTAAAAAGACATGTGCTCCTTTCCCCAACAACACATACTAAAAAATGAGTGGTTGGTTCCTTATGTACAGAATGTAAAACAATGGAATAACCACCTACATTGTCAACACATGATGCAATAAACCAGAACCTTCACCAAGTAAATAATGACAAAAAAAAAATCATGATATTATATGTTATATAGGTCTCAGACAGGGTATATAATGTGACATTCCCGGCTTAGAGTTTGTATTCCCTGAGCCGAAGGAGAAGGGGATATAAACTCTTAGCCGGGAATGTCACATTATATACCCTGTCTGAAACCTGAATTACTCATATATTAAGGATTACCCTTGCCTTAATGTTTTTCCAGTACCAGTTATTTGTTTAACATTCACCATGCAGTATATATATTTTCCGCATACGTGAAGGATTTGTAAACTGATGTGAAAATAATTCTATCGTGTATGCAATAATTTGTAGTAACACTTTAGAACATTAATTAAGTATTTGATGTGTAAATCGCATGGTTTTAAATTAAAAACGTATTATTGATGGATACACGTCTATATTTTCCCTCTGTGAGCCTCTGTGATCTGTATAGCCTAAGACGACGTTACATAGTAACACTTGTTATGATGACGTTATTGAGGTTCCAATTAGGGTAAAAAACGTCGTATATACCCCAGCAGTTTCCCGAATATATACTGACATCTCTGTGTTGTTATCCAATCACAAAACTCGACACATTTGTAATCCGTAATATATAATAATATAATATGTTACATTACACATCTGGACATTTCCACCATTTTGAAAAATGCGGACATCTACAAATGTAAAGTTTCTATCAATTAAGGAAGTAATTGAAACTCAATTGAAACTATTAAAAACAGCATACCTGTATACTTCAGGTATTACAGTGAAGGTGCAAACTTTTAATTTTATAAGAAATTTGTGAAATTAACATATAACTTGAGGTAGGATTGCCAGTTTTATAATAGAGCCAACAGTTTGATGAATGGATGAGGAAAAATATTTACAATTGATCAGGGACATAATTTAACCTAAATTCTGACTGTCCTGATCAACATATTTTTAGAAGGAAATATGTTTAAAGACAAATGCATCATGTGCATCAGGTGAAAAAGATAGAAATGGTGTTAGAATAACAAAAGAGTATTGAAGCACCTATACTATATCTTTTGGACTAATTAAGTGAATATGTCAGATTGTCACATTATCTAGCATATTTACCTGACGATATCGAGATATGGGTATAAGGCAAATCTTAACAGGAAGTTGTGATAATATTAAAAACCGACACGGATAAAAAAAAAAAACAATGTCACAATGTTCAGGCTTTAATAAAAACCTTTTTTAGCTCACCTGGCCCGAAGGGCCAAGTGAGCTTTTCTCATCACTTGGCGTCCGTCGTCCGTCGTCATCGTCCGTCATTGTTAGCTTTTTACAAAAATCTTCTCCTCTGAAACCACTGGGCCAAATTTAGGGTATCTAGTTTATAAAATGTGTCCGATGACCCCGCCAACCAACCAAGATGGCCGCCATGGCTAAAAATAGAACATAGAGGTAAAATGTAGATTTTGGCTTATATCTCTGAAACCAAAGCATTTAGAGTAAATCTGACATGGGGTAAAACTGATTATCAGGTCAAGATCTATCTGCCCTGACATTTTCAGACAAATCTGACAACCTGTTGTTGGGTTGCTGCCCCTGAATTGGTAATTTTAAGGAAATTTTGCAGTTTTTATACGACCGCAAAAAAATTTTGAGGTCGTATATTGGTATGACGTTTGCGTCGTCGTCGTCGTCGTCGTCGTCGTCCGGCGTCGTCGTCCGAATACACAATGGTTTTCGCACTCTAACTTTAGTTTAAGTGAATGGATCTCTATGAAATTTTACCATAAGGTTCAATACCACAATAGGAAGGTGGGGATTGATTTTGGGGGTTATGGTACCAACAGTTAAGGAATTAGGGGCCAAAAAGGGGCCAAAAATAAGCATTTTTGTAACTTCCAGACATAACTTGTGTGTTAGCATATGGATCTCTTTGACATTGTACCACAAGATTCCATATCACAAAGGGTCAATGCTGGGATTGATTTTGGGGTTAATTGCCTCAAAATTTTAGGAATAAGGGGCCAAAAGGGGGCAAAAAACAAGCATTTTTCTAGTTTCATGACAATAACTTGTGTGTAAGTGTATGGATCTTTCTGAAATTTTACTACAAGGTTCCATTTCACAAAGGGAAAGCTGGAATTGAGTGTTGTGGTAATTGCCCAAAACGTTCAGTAATAAGGGGCCTAAAAAGGGGTTTAAAATAAGCATTTTTTAGTTTCTAGACAATAACTTGTGTTCAAGTGCATGGATCTCTCTAAAATTGTATTACAAGGTACCATACCACAAAGGCTAGGCTGTTATTGAGCTTGGTTTGGGGGGAAAGGGGGGTGGGAGTGATGAATCATAAGGGGGGCGGGGGTCAAAAAAGGGGTAATTTTTTTTTTTCCTTTTTTTTTTGTTTAAAATTTACATTTTAAGTTAGTTATTTTTTATCACGAAGAGAAAGTAGGAATTGAGTTTTGGGGTTAATTGCTCAAACATTTATGAATAAGGGGCCAAATATTGGTCAAAAATAAGGATTTTTTTAGTTTGCAACAAAAACTTGTGTTCAAGTGTATGGATCTCTGTGAAATTGTATTGCAATGTACCATACCACAAATTGAAGGTTGTGATTGAGGTGGGGGATGATGAATCAAAAGGGGGTTGAAAAAATGTGTGGGAGGTAGGATTTTTTTTTCCTTTTTTTTTCTTTAAAATTTTCCATTTAAAGATGGTTGTTTCAGATTTATATATGAAAGAAAATAATAATGATACGGTTATATATCATGAGGAATGGAAATTTAAAATTATGTATATTGGAAATTTAGGTTACATTGGAAAGTAATAATTGGCTTTGGGGGGGGGGGGGGGGGGGGGTTATGGCTCTAATGTTTAAGGAATAAGGGGAAAAAAGGTTAAAAAACAAGGGTTTCCATTTTAATAGACAAATAATTGAGTAAAGAACATTATTTAAAAGCAGTGTAAGGTTGGTAATTCAAACTCATTTAAATATCTCATCTACACTGCTTTTAAATTATGTAAATTGGAAATTTGCCAATAACTTTATTGTTAATAAATGCATTGGAAATTTGCCAACAATTTTAGTGTAATAAACTTCATTGGAAATTTGCCAATATAAAATTTTGCTGATGAAGGTTTTTTGTTTACCTTTAGCCTTGACTATGAAGTCATTTTCTATTTTTATAGCCTTATGATGTAGTTGAATTATTTAATACTTTTATGATGTGTTTAAATGGGGTTTTATCATGTTTATGGTTGCAAATTTATTGTTTTAGTATAATAAACTCCATTTAAAATTTGCCAATAAAAAAAAATTTTGTTTATTTTTAGCTATGATTATGATGTCATTTTCTATTTTACTTTTATGGTTGCAAAGAAATTTTTATTTTTAGATATTACTGTTAAATGATGCTGATTAAGGTTTTTGCTATGTTTAGCCATGACTATGATGTCATTTTCTATTTTAATATCTGTTATGATGTATTTAAATGGGCTTTTATGGTTACAAAGGAATTTTATTTTTAGATATTACTATAAAATGTTGCTGATGCTAATTAAGGATTTTGTTTATTTTTAGCCATGACTATGATGTCATTTTCTATTTTAATACCTTTATGATGTAATTTCCATTTTTAGATATTACTGTTAAATGATGCTGATTAAGGGTTTTTTGCTATGTTTAGCCATGACTATGATGTCATTTTCTATTTTAATATCTTTATGATGTATTTAAATGGGCTTTTATGGTTACAAAGGAATTTTATTTTTAGATATTACTTTAAATGTTGCTGATTAAGGATTTTTGTTTATTTTTAGCCATGACTATGATGTCACTTTCTATTTTAATACCTTTATGATGTATTTAAATGGGCTCCCATGTATTCAGATTTTTGATTATTTATACATGTTACCAAATTGGTCCACATTGAACAAAAACGGTCCAAATTTCAACTTTATTACATTACATCAAACATTGAATTCTACATATTCTTTGATATATTGAAATTAACAAACAATTTAGTTTATGGATATTCCACCATAATAGGTAAATTAAATTTTTTCCAGTTCTTACACCACATTCATCCTGTGTCAGAAACCTATGCTGTGTCAAATATTTAATGACAATCCAAAGTCATAGCTGTATCAAGCTTGAATTTTGTGTCCATACTTGCCCCAACTGTTCAGGGTTCGACCTCTGCGGTCGTATCAAGCTGCGCCCCAGCGAAGCATTTTATTAAAAATTGATCCACATTGAGGTCCAAAGAGTCCAAAATTAAACTTTAATTGATTTCATCAAAAATTGAATTACTGGGGGTTCTTTGATATGCCGAATCTAACCTTGTATTTAGATTCTTAATTTTTGGTTCCGTTTTCAAATTGGTCTACATTAAGGTCCAAAGGGTCCAAAATTAAACTTAGTTTGATTTTAACAAAAATTGAATTCTTAGGGTTCTTTGATATGCTGAATCTAAACATGTATTTAGATTTTTGATTATGGGCCCAGTTTTCAAGTTGGTCCAAATCGGGGTCCAAAATTAAACTTTGTTTGATTTCAACAAAAATTGAATATATGGGGTTCTTTGATATGCTGAATCTAACCATGTATTTAGATTTTTGATTTTTGGGCCCCATTATCAACTTTGTCCACATTGAGGTCAAAAGGGTCCAAAATTAAACTTTGTTTGATTTCATCAAAAATTGAATTCTTGGGGTTCTTTGATATGCTGAATCTAACCATGTATTTAGATTTTGGATATTAGACCATAATAGGTGAATGTCCAATTTAAAATTTTTAAGTTCTTAGACCACATTCATTCTGTGTCAGAAACCTATGCTGTGTCAAATATTTAATCACAATCCAAATGCAAAGCTGTATCAAGCTTGAATGTTGTGTCCATACTTGCCCCAACTGTTCAGGGTTCGACCTCTGCGGTCGTATCAAGCTGCGCCCTGCGGAGCATTTTATTGGTTATTATCTTGAATATTATTATAGATAGAGATAAACTGTAAACAGCAATAATGTTCAGCAAAGTAAGATCTACAAATAAGTTGTCATGACCTAAATTGTCAGTCGACCCCTTTAGGAGTTATTGCCCTTAATAGTCAATTTTTAACAATTTTTTGTAAATATTTGTAATCTTTTACAAAAATCTTCTTCTCTGAAACTACTGAGACAAATTTAACCATACTTGGCCATAATCATTATTAGGGTATTAAAAAATTTGTCCGATGACCCCGCCTTCTAACCATCATGGCCGACTTGGTTAAAAATAGAACATAGGGGTAAAATGCAGTTTTTGGTTTATATCTCTGAAACTAAAGCATTTAGAGCAAATCTGACAGGTGGCAAAAATGTTCATCAGATTTAGATTTATCTGCCCTGAAATTTTCAGACGAATCCGACAACCCGTTGTTGGGTTGCTGCCCGAGTTAGTAGTTTTACAAAAAAAAGTTTTTTATTATAATCTTAGATATCATTATAATATCTAATATCTAATACTATTAATTATGATTTTAACCTTATTTTACACGGTTTCCAAAGCATCAGTAAATACAGGTGAGCGACACAGGCTCTTGAAAGCCTCTAGTTTGGGTAAGTTGGTGAAAGCATACAATCTGTATTGTGTCTTATACTGTTAGAGGCAAATAATGTTAAATGGCTATACTATATTAATTTGTAAACACGTTAATTACGACCTATGAAAGTAGTTTGTGCATTTTTCTGAGTACGTTTAAAAAAATTTCAAACAAATATACTTTACTGTGGGTTAGCATTCGTTAGCAGCCACTATCCTATAGCTTAACAACTGTTGGTTATATTGATAATTTAGAATTTTCATTGAAGCTGGAGCACGAATGTTGTGTTAATTAATTTGTTTGTTGTGTCATCTGTATGTAAGAGTGACATCCCTTTGTACTATGTTTCAATTCCAAAAGGTCGATCGAATCAATGTGTTTATTGTCTCCCTTGAACAGGTTCATAATTTCATCTTTACGTATAGTTATTTGATTTAATTTTAAATCATTACAAAATTATTTATTATCGGTTTATTAAAGACATTTATGTATATCTATAACTTTATTTATTTGTTTTGAAACGTTTAAAATTATTATATACCAATATAAAGAACCTTTCATAATTTTATAAATATTATTTAGTCACATAATAAGATTCTAATTATCTTCCGTGCAAGACCCTCATGGGTAGTCAAGGTCGTTGAAAACCCCTGGTCGTCCTAAGTTATTGGGTTTGATGAGGCAATCTACTGTGAGAGTCCATATAGATCATCTGCCTCAAACTAATCCTGGAATGGTTTACTTTTATAGCCGTATTATGGTAACACATTATATAAATAGTATTCTGTCTACTTTTAATTTGAAGTAAATTATTCAGGTGAATACATGTAACACATGTATCATTCTGTTGTCAAGAATACACTGTTTTAAGCTGTTGTCCGCATCATCTAACCTCCAACAGCATTGATCCTGCTACTTGTGAAAGTATTTATTGTTTTAATATATGTATATAATTATGTCAGAATTCAAATGAAGCAGACATATTGTCAAACTCTTAATCTATCTGCATTACTTGATTCCCTAAAGACAAATACATGTATGCTGTGTAACACCACCACCTAAACACAAACACACACAAGATACACTTATGCACAAACACAAAAACAGAACACCATAACCACCACTTTATTCCAGAAACTTCAAACTTATGTCTAATGCTTAAGTAAGAAATTATGATTGGAACCTACTTAAAGTATTTGAACTTTTTTGAAAAAGACTATATATATGAAAATTGAACTATATTATTTCCCCATTATGATAAAATGTTGGGAAAATTAACCAGAGTTATCTTACATTAATCACAAAGAGGGGCTAGCAAACAATTTTTAATTAGAGCTTAATTAACTTTAAAACAATTTTCCAGTACAAATGAATGTTACTTTATTCAATTATAAGGACTTAGTTAGCCAACTCTGCTAATTTTATTTGATATTATGAATTTTTATGACAATAGATAAACATGCTACATGTGAAGTCTTACCTTGTTGGATATGTGTGAAATAATTTTAAGATAATTTGTCTACTTTCAGAACAATGTTGGATTGATAGCTGTTAATGACGCTATATATTTAGAAGCATGTGTTTATGAGATACTTAAACATTACTTCAGAAAGAAACCATACTATATTGATCTTGTAGAACTTTTTCATCAGGTAAACATTATTATCCATATTTTCTTAAATTTTGCTTTTTATTATACCCCCGCTTTAAAAAAGTGGGGGTATACTGTTTTACCTCTGTCTGTCCTTCCATCAGTCCATCCATCCGTCAGTCCATCTGTCAGTCCGTCCATCCCATGAATATTTCGTCGCATTTATCTCAGGAACTACTTGACAAGGATTTCTGAAAATTGGTTTCAGGGTTTATATAAGTAAGTTACACCGTGTGATGCATTTTCAGATTCATCACTCAACAACTTCCTGTTTATTTAAAAAAGTGGGGGTATACTGTTTTACCTCTGTCTGTCCTTCTGTCAGTCCATCCGTCAGTCAGTCAGTCCGTCCCATGAATATTTTCGTCTCATTTTTCTCAGGAACTACTTGACAAGGATTTCTGAAATTTGGTTTCAGGGTTTATATAAGTAAGTTACACCGTGTGATGTGTTTTCAGATTCATCACTCAACAACTTCCTGTTTACTGAACACTTGTATTATTTTACACATGATAGCCAAGTTGAAAATTTTTGTCACATTTTTCTCAGGAACTACTTGACAAGGATTTCTGAAATTTGGTTTCAGGGTTAATATATAAACTATAGATAATCTATGGGAACTGATCAATGCTGATGTATTGAAATTAATTTTAAAGGTGTTGTATGTTATTCATTCTTGATCAGAATTATTTAATTGAACCTTTTCTGTATAAGATCCTCCCTTCGAAACCATCTCATAACAATACAGTCTTAATTATACCCCCGCTTTAAAAAAGTGGGGGTATACTGTTTTACCTCTGTCTGTCCTCCCGTCATTCCATCGGTCAGTCCGTCCATCAGTCAGTCAGTCCGTCCCATGAATATTTTTGTAACATTTTTCTCAGGAACTACTTGACAAGGATTTCTGAAATTTGGTTTCAGGATTTATATAAGTAAGTTACACCGTATGATGCGTTTTCAGATTCATCACTCAACATCTTCCTGTTTACCGAAATATTTCGTTGGGGGTATCATCAGTGAGCAGTAGCTCACAGTTTTACTTGTTGTGATAATTTTCCATACCAAGCTACTCGACTGAGAATGGTATTTCTGAGTCCAGTAGAGTGAGAACATGATGACTTCATAAAGACAATGTCATTGATGTTGCCTAGGAAAATAGAGATAAATAGATCATCTATGGTCTTTCAACTTGAAGAAAAAGCTATAGCCCTTCAATGAGATTGTAGCAGAGAAACTCCCTCTTTTTTTCAAAACTATAGAAAATCTATGAGAACTAATCAATGCTGATGTATTGAAATTAATTTTAAAGGTGTTGTATGTTATTCATTCTTGATCAGAATCATTTAATTGAACCTTTTCTGTATAAGATCCTCCCTTCGAAACCATCTCATAACAATACAGTCTTAATTATACCCCCGCTTTAAAAAAGTGGGGTATACTGTTTTACCTCTGTCTGTCCTACCGTCATTCCATCCGTCAGTCCGTCAATCAGTCAGTCATTCCGTCCGCATTTTTCTCAGGAACTACTTGACAAGGATTTCTGAAATTTGGTTTCAGGGTTTATATAAGTAAGTTACAATGTGTGATGCGTTTTCAGATTCATCACTCAACAACTTCCTGTTTACCGAACACTTGTACTATTTTACACATGATAGCCAAGTTGAAAATTTTCGTCACATTTTTCTCAGGAACTACTTGACAAGGATTTCTGAAATTTGGTTTCAGGGTTTATAAGTCAGCTACTCTGTGTGATTCGTTTTCAGATTCATCACTAAACAACTTCCTGTTTACTGAAATATTTCGGCGTGGGTATCATTAGTGAGCAGTAGCTCACAGTTTTACTTGTTATTTTTGTTGTGCCACGATTATTTACAGTAACATTTTTAGCATTCATTTCATTCGTTTTTCCCAGCGTATATTTTCCACGAAAGTGGGTCATACTCATTTTCACTATTGCATACTTGCTTATTAGGCCAATTAAAATTAATTGATAGATTTTCATCCCCGCCCGCCCCTCTGAAATCGTCCCGCCACGATATTTTTTATTTTTACGATTTCCAGGCTTTGTTCATTTCCGTTACCGGTAACTGCCGATAATTTTGCTTTATTCAAAACTTCCTGATTCAAATTTCGATTCTTCGAGTAATATAAGTGGACATATTCTCCTGCTCAATGATGACAACATTATTTTCTGAGAATATAGATTGATTACTAGAAGGGCATGAAGTATTCGGGTTACGAGTAATAGGCGGTGTCCTTAAGAACGCCAATCGCGGTAATTTTCACAAATTTCAGTGAATAGAAAACCGTGGATTTTTTTTATTTAAACAATGACTTGCAACAGGCGACATACGAACCCCTCAAAGAGTTGTTGCAAGGGTTCTTAACGTGCAGAGAGCATTGCACTCTCTCTACAGGATGCATTAGATTTAACATCCCCATTCTGACCGGACGTGGCTGCCTACTTGATACATCCTGCATAGCAAAACGGACGCCCCACTTTGGTAAGGGTTTTACTGTCCGTCGGAAGAAGACCTGTAGTGACCATATTTCTATTCCCCAGTCACCCTTGGGGATCATATTTGGGCTGCATACCAATGCATATGCTTTATTTTATGGGCACTACAAATCATAGCTTAGATAGCAAAACAAATTTGATCTAGGTAGTCTGAAAGAGAACATTTCTCCATATTTGCTATTTACTAAAAATAGGTTTTTAAAGCGGCAATTACAAGTAGAACAGTGGTTGCCAATCAGAAATATTAATTTAAGAATTTGAAAAATAATGCAGAATTCCTTATATATACATGATACAAGCTTATTATTAACCTTGAACATGAACAACACGTCACAAAAAGGTCTAGAGGGAAATAAAAATTAAAAAATAAAATCCTCCCACCCGCCCCATTTTTTTCAAAAATCTGGATGAAAATCTACTAATTAATTTTAGTTGGCCTTATGCGGAATGATCTTTCATAGTTACAACATAATTACCTTATTCAGAGACATTAATAATGCATCCTATTTAATCCATATTTATCCTTTTATAAAGTTAGAATTATTCCAAATCCTATTTGTCAACTAGAAGGCCACGTTGGTTTATTTTCACATTTGTGTACACATGTACTATTTTTAGCATGTATTAAGTGACGTCGTCTAACAAACGTTTTCAGAAAGTATAGTCAGTTTCAAATTAGAGCCCAGACTGATTTTGACAATTGACAGTATTTTGTTATTCAGGTATTTTTGCACACACTGCAAGTTATTGGTATTCAGGTATTTTTTCCATATAAATTATTGAGCACTAAGAGTTATTGAAACTCATAGTGTGTGTTTACATGTAATATTATTGAGCACTAAGAGTTATTGAAACTCAAGGTGTATTTTTCCATTTAAATTATTGAGCACTAAGAATTATTGAACCTTAAGGTGTATTTTCCCATATAAAATTATTGAGCACTAAGAGTTATTGAAACTCAAGGTGTATTTTTCCCATATGAATTTATTGAGCACTAAGAGTTATTGAAACTCAAGGTGTATTTTCCCATATAAAATTATAGAGCATTAAGAGTTATTGAGACTGGAGGTGTATTTTACTATATAAAATTATTAAGCATTAAGAGTTGTTGAAACACAAGGTGTATTTTTCTCAAAATATTTTTTGAACATTAAGGGTAACTGAACTTAAAAGTATTAATTCAGTCTGGTATATTGAAAATATGAATTTGAGACACAGACAATTAAAACTTCCTATGTTTTTAAATAATGGAGGGAGAGGGTCCCCAAGAGCTCCCTTATGTAGTGTTAACTCCAATTATTCGGACTCAACAAGGGAAAATGAGACACAATTTGTTCTGAATAGTGCATCAGGGGCTAGTGGTATTATTTCTGATACTTACCCTTCAATTGCAAGTGTTAATACTTTTACTAATTCGATGGCTGGTCCCAGCATTTCTAACTTTCATACTATAAGTTCACCTAGTTTTAGGTTAAACACTTACAGCCAGTCATATCCTGCTTGGGGGTTACATACAAATATTAGTACTAATAGTATAAATCTAAGTACTTTTTCAAACCCAATAAACAGTAATGCTAATTTGACCCGACCAATGACAACAGATCAGACAAATATCATGACTAACCTATCACTGCCCAGAATATCTTCTATGAATGACAGCACTCTGAACAGATCTACATATCACGTGAACCATAAATCAGATGAGGTGATGGAACTTAGATGAAGAATACAAGAACTTGAAAGAGAGAAAGAACTTAATACAAGGCAAACAATGACTACTGAGCCATACCCTTCAGCGCATAGTATGCAGTCACAATATAGAAATTATGGTAACAGTGAACAACAACCATATAGATGGAACCAACAAAATTCCACATACTAGCCAGACACAAGATTTAGCCAGACGACCTATACGATGCAAAATCATACAGAATCATTTGCAAGTCATGATTTCTATAAGTCAAGACTTCCATATTTTAATGATAAAGGAAACTGGAAAACAGTTCCAAATTATTGCTGAACGTAATAACTAGAGTCCAAGACAGCAAACAGAAGAAATCCTTTTAGTCCTTAAGGATGAGGCCCTTACCTTTGCCACAGAGTTAGATCCAGAAGTTCGCACTTCCTTTATGCTGTTTAATTCAGAAATGGAAAGGCGTTTTGGAAACTACAATTTCCTTGAGACCTACAGACGTGAATTACAGACTGTCAAGAAACAATATAAAGAAAGCATCCATGAATATGCCGCTAGGATAGAAGGTATGGTTAGAAAGGCTTACCCTGGAATGGACAAACAGCTGTTCAATAATATCAGTATTGAATAAATGTTGTCTGGACTACCTGATCGGAGTCTGGCATATGATGTTTTTACTAAGAACCATGGAAGAAACGATTAACCTGGTAACCTGGCATTTAACTTGCAAAAATGGCATGACAGGCAAATCTCAGATTCGTAAGATGGAGACAACTGAAGATGAACAAGAGGTTGATTATTAGGACCTTAATTGCAGAAAAGCAGGACATCAGCGGTATGTAACTGAAGAGAGACTGAATCAGTTTGGAAGAGACATGAGGGAGTCTATGACAAAGGATATCGTAAAGTCAGTTGGTGATATGATAGATAAAAAAACTGACTTAGAGAACCAGAAAGAAGGGGAGATAAATGGCTTCCTAAGGAAAAATATCAGAAAACCAACTTGAATAAATGCTATTCATGCAATGAAAAAGGGCATTTCAGTAGGGACCGTCCAAATAAGAAGAATGATACCGGTAAGCAACAGTATGAGAATATAACCATAGTCAGAATCCTTTAAACAAGAAGAGGCTGGGACTGTCGGCCAAGTGTCAGCCTTAGACATGAGTAATGTAAATAATGAGTCAGCAGATTTTCATTTGTCAGCTTTAGAGATAAGAAGTGAAGATGATGAAGATGCTGAGTCGGCAGATTTTAATATTGATCTACTTTTTGAGGAATTCGAGATACAGAAAGGAAACAAAGAGCAATTTCAAAACGATTTAAGTCCTTTGACTCCTGTGAGGGAAACAAAGATTGTGGAGGTAATGTCTGAGTTGACGTCAGGACAAAGTACCTCAACTTCTGTATTGACTCCTATGGTGAAAAAGGAGAATGTTGACAGCAGAGGGCAATCAAGTTGTGATATCCAGATAGACAGAGTGAGGTCTGCAACCATAAAAGTCCCCATAAGTATTAATGGGCAGGTGACCAAAGCTGTTTTGGATACAGGAGTGGAAGTGACAGTTCTTAATAGCAGTCTGTATTTTGGGATTCCAGAGAAAAAGAGACCACTATTAAGGAAAGCGACCAGAAAGCTAGTAGTAGCTGAAGCAGGGAAAAGCATGGAGACCCATGGAATAACGACCATGAATGTTAAACTTGGGAACCATGAATTTTCTTGGGAAATGTATGGTAATTGCCCCTATAGGGGATAGTATTCTTCTTGGGTTGATATTGCAGATGAACTAGACATTACAATAAACTCCAAGAAGGAAATACAAGTAGAAGGCAAGTTGATGGAATGTTACACCGAGAGACAAGATAGCAAGAGTATTGTTAACTGAAAATGTAACCATACCAGTCAATTCTGAAATGATATTGTCTGGTGGGAGTTGTAACTTGTAATATTGATTTTATAGATACCAGATATTCCATGCTACAACCAGTGGTTGAGGATAATCCAAAAATTATGTATGCACATTGGAATACAAGAAATAGGAAGACTAAAACAGAAAACTCCTTGGAGGTGAAATTTGATAGGTGCAGAAATATGGCTGATATTTCTACCATACCAGATCATTTCAAGGAACCCCTGACAGACACCGTAAAGAATTGTACATTTGATGTACATGTAGGAAATAGACAGGAAATAAACCAATTTGTGAATGAACCATCCAAAGGGTAATGCTGAAGGACTGCAGAAGGACCAAGACATTGAAATGAACAAGTATCTAAGTGAAAATGAGAAAAGGAAGAAGACTCCAAAGAAAACTAATGATGAAGAAAGAAGATTTGAAGTTCTATGTGTTTTGTGCACTCAAAGAAGTGGAAAGAACTTATAATTTGCATGATTTATATTGAACTTTTAAGTGAATGATCATCGACTTGTGAAAATTGTTTAACATGTTATGCTATTTTATTTTATATCAATTCTGGGGACAAAATTCTTTTTCTTGATGGGAAGCAGTGTTGTGCCACAATTATTTACAGTAACATTTTTAGCATTCATTTCATTCGTATTTCCCGGCGTATATTTTCTGCGAAAGTGGGTCATACTTATTTTCACTTTTGCACATTTGCTTGTTATGCTGAATGATCTTTCATAGTTACAACATAATTACATTATTCAGACGTTAATAATGCTTCCTATTTAATCCATATTTATCCTTTTATAAAGTTAGAATTATTCCAAATCCTACTTGTCAACTAGAAGGCCACGTTGGTTTACTTTCACATATGTGTACACATGTACTATTTTTAGCATGTATTGAGTGACGTCTCTAACAAACGTTTTCAGAAAGTATAGTCAGTTTCAAATTAGAGCCCAGACTGATTTTGACAGTTGACAGTATTTTGTTATTCAGGTAATTTTGCACACACTGCAAGTTATTTAAAATACATTGCAATTTATTTATATTAATTAATAACTATTATTAATGATATTAACTTTTAATAAAGCTGCTTTTATTTATCTAAACAAATCTTGTTTCTAGTTTTACAAAGTTTGAACTTTCAAAACAGTTTAATACTGTGACTTTTATGATTGATATTTGCATAATATCTGCCAACCATTTATAGTATCGGTTGGCGCTTCAATTTTTGTCCTTTTTTTTTTTTTTTTTCAGTTTCACAAAATTTAGCAGGAATTTTTGACTTATGAGTAATAAAATATTTGTACTTACAGGTAACAGTAGATCATCATGCAGACTGTTATTGGAAGGTCTCATTTATAGCATACCTGTCAACCTATGAAAATGTAAATGCAGGTCATGACCTACATTGAAGAAAAAAATCTCAGGTCATAACGCGTACAAACTTTTTTTCAGCTGAATTTAAGTATTTAGGGGACATTTCTTTATATTTTATATCGAAGAGTTTCCAACACATGTTCACATGGTTATGAATTAACTGAAAATAATTTAAAACTTTCAGTTTATTTTTTCATTGCGTTTATAAGCCATTGATATACTTATGTATCATTCAATGTCAATTCAATTCAAGCCTAACCATACCCCCTCTTGTTTTATTCATAGTTCATTGTAGTTTTAGCTCAATTCACAAGCCACTTGTTTCTCAGTATGTATCATACTGTACAGCTTTATTTGTTTATATTCTATCAAGGTAGTTGATATTGAAATACATGTATAATAAAAAATTTAAGCATTTAAAGGAAGTGGAGATAAAAAAAAATATTTTCTAAATATTAATTTTTTAATTGTTCTAAGGTAGAAAAATAATAGAAAGTAATATTCTGATATGTATTTGCATTCAATTTGCCTAAGATTTAATCTTTTTCTCCCAGCATGCACTGGTATAATTTATAACTAACAACAACAATTAACAATGGCAGTATAAATAACTTTTGTAATCTCCTGTGTGACTGGTTGCACGGTGTTTACTTAAAAAAAGTACTAAAATGGAGTAGGCCTCCACCTGTCTTATGTATAGAACAAGGTGATTATACATAACTGGAACACAGTCTACTTTTGTCATCACTTGACAATGTCCTTTTTTGTTATCCTTTAACTTTTACAAAGATCATATCCTCAAAAACTACTTTTCCAAATTTAACTCAACTTTGCCACTATCATCATTGGAGTATTTGGTTTAAAAAATGTGTCTGATGATCCTGCCTACCAACCAACATGAGCATGGCTAAGAATAGAACATAGGGGTAAATTGCAATTGTTTCTATTATCTTAAAAACCATTACAGATAGAGAAAATCTGACGGGCAAAAATATTAACAATAATGGGATCTACCTTCTGTCTTTTTCCATCAAAACTGTAAAGACAACTCCTTGTAGGAGTTATTGCCCTTAAATGACCAATTTCACTTAAATTTTAATGGATTGACTTGTACATAAACTGTATGTAGCAAAAATAATAAGCAAGACATGATATCTCAGTCTACAGTTTTGGAGAGTGTCTATTGATGAAGATGCACATAGATCTAGATGAACGACACAGACTCTTCATAGCCTCTTGTTTCAAGATGTTGAAAGTTAATGTTTATAATTGCAGAGCTCCATACAAACAGTTATGAGACAATGTTAAGATCTGATCACAATTACCAAAAAATAGTGAAAGCTTATTTTATAATTTCAGATCTCCATGCAAACAGTTATGGGACAGTGTTTAGATCTGATTACAGCCCCTGTTGATGGTAAAGTTGACTTTACAAAGTTTACAGAGGATAGATACAATGCTATAGTGAAGTGGAAAACAGCATATTACTCATTCTATCTGCCTGTAGCCTTAGCTATGTATATGGTAATTAGACAAATTTTTGCACTTAACATGTTACTGTAAGTTCAGAAATTATTGAGAGGTTTTTATTATTGCAAATGGTGTGACTGGGTGAGTATCGCAGTAATAAGAACTCACATCATGATATCTGATATATATATCTGTAAATATTCCTGAAATCGCAATAATTAATATGGCATTATTGTCAATTCTTCAAAATCGCAATAATAAGTGCACGCAATATATTCTGAATTTACAGTACTGATAGATTTTGTAATTATAAAAAAGAAGATGTGGTATGATTGCCAATGAGACAACTCTCCACAAGAGACCAAATGACACAGAAATTAACAACTATAGGTCACCTTACAGCCTTCAACAATGAGCAAAGCCCATACCGCACTGTCAGCTATAAAAGGCCCCGAAATGACAATGTAAAACAATTCAAACGAGAAAACTAACGGCCTCATTTATGTACAAAAAATGAACGAAAAACAAATATGTAACACTTAAACAAACGACAACCACTGAATCACAGGCACATACATACAGAATGTGGCGGGGTTAAACATGTTAGCGGGATCCAAACCCTCCCCCTAACCTGGGACAGTGGTGTAACAGTACAACATAAGAACAAACTATAAAAATCAGTTGAAAGAGGCTAAACTCATCAATAGGATAAAAATACAAATACTACAAATACAAGTGGACGTGGCTGGGTACTTGTACATCCAAACAACATTTGCAAATGTTATGCTCTGTGAAGGAATCCTGATGAAGTTTAAAGTCCTTGCATGCTTTGAAACATCATTTAGGCCACCAGTCAACTTTGCATTCTCTATTTCAGACTTTGCAAAAAGGCATGTGATATCCTCTATGGTTGAATTTGTCAACTAGCTTCTGAATTAAACCATGCTTCTTTTTCTTTTGTGGCATAAAAACCTTCTTGCAAAGGAAAATTCTTTCACCATAATCAGGATGTTTACAATTCTGACATACAAACTGAGTAATATTTGCTCATTCACAATGCCTCCAATGATTAGGAGATAAAAGAAAATCTTTATTTTATTTGTTAATTATTAATATTGCTGATCTTACTTGGGAAAAGTTCAAAGTTGGGAAACAAAAAATTTTTCGGTAGAATTTATGAAAATCTGGATTTTAACTTGTTTTACGAATCTGATATTGTGATACGGGTTGAGGCATTTAAAAAATTGGGATTGTTGGCAGGTCTGCTGTTCTATAAATGAGGGTTGTTGGAATTGATTTTTTTTTCAGTTTGGTTATCAACTTATGTGTGTTTTCATCAGTATTCTAACCAGAATAACAGATGATAATTTGAAAATACAATGTTTTTGAAGAAAAAATTATATTAATATTTTTTGGAAATTTCAAAAGATTGTAACCCCTATAATGCTCTTTTACTACAAACAAAAGTATATGTACATGTATGTTTTGCTTACAGGCTGGTATAACAGATGAGGAAATACACTCCAAGGCTAAAACAATTCTGATTGAGATGGGTACATTCTTCCAAATACAAGTATACATACATTTTATATACTTCTTTGAAAGGACTTTTTTATAATTTTTTAAATGTGTATGTGTAATTTTTACCAATTATTGGTTATCTGTGACCTCATTTTCCTTGTTCAGTGACATAACAAATAAAGTTGAGTTTCGATGATTAGGTTTCTATTTTAAATCATATTTGTTCATTAAATCATTGAATCAAAGACAGCAACCCAACAATATAATGAAGCTTAATTAATTAAAGTTACAATTTTCAGGTACCATAATTACACGAAAATATGTGTGTATAGGTTGGAGTGCTACTGTTCTAAATGTGGCTTATCTTCATATTTAAGGACGCCTGTTAAGTTTGCTATAAAAATCCATCAGTTGGTATTAACATAGGTACAAGCACTGTAAATTCATATATTTCTTCTAGTTGCATTTATTATTCATGGGATTTTTTAACAAAGAGTCAAAATATGAGATTTAATTATTAGGATTAAAATCCGATTTCAGAAAATGGTGCACACAAATACATGTAATTCTATAAATGCTGTATTAGTTTTTATTTTCTCAAAGCCTTTCCTGTTGAAATAAAATCACAGAAATTTCAGATACATGATATAAAATATTATTGTTAATTTCATTTCAGGATGACTATTTAGATTGCTATGGAGATCCTTCAGTTATTGGCAAAATAGGAACGGATATACAGGACAATAAATGTTCCTGGTTAGTAATACAGGCACTGAAGAGAGTCAGCAAGGAACAAAGAACTGAATTACAGGTAAGAAAACAAATGGGTTTTTATAGGCAATTCATTTCAGGTAGGCAATAATGGTAGCCTTTTCCTCAATTCCTCTATCCTTATTGTAAACTTGGATATGTATGATGGCTGGTTTCGAAGCAGAAACATTTTCTCACATGTGGTTAAAATTTCAGGGTATGAAGTGTGATTTATTTATCCCTAATTTAGCATAGCCCAAAAAGCCCATTGTGATGCAGCTATTCGAAGTAAAAAATCCCTTTTTTTAGCTCACCGTTCGAAAGGACCGGTGAGCTTTAGCCATCACTTGGCGTCCGTCGGTGTCTGTCGTCTTCCGTCTGGTGTAAACTATTTCAAACATCTTCTCCTCTGAAACTACTGAACCAATTCCAACAATACTTAAGCTGAATGATCCTTAGGGTATCTAGCATAAAGTTTGTGTTTTATTTTCTGTTTCGTCAAAAAACATGGCCGCCATGGCTAAAAATAGAACATATGGGGTAAAATGCAGTTTTTGGCTTATATCTAAAAAACCAAAGCAGTTAGAGCAAATCTGACATGTGGTAAAAGTGTTCATAAGGTAAAGTTCTATCAGCCCTGAAATTTTCAGATGAATCTAATAACCCATTGTTGGGTTGCTGCCACTAAATTGGTAATTTTAAGGAAATTTTGCTGTTTTTGGTTATTATCTTGAATAGTATTAATGATAAAGATAAACTGTAAACAGCAAATATGTTCAGCAAAGTAAGATCTACAAATAAGTTTCTATGACCAAAATTGTCAATTGACCACTTAAAGAGTAATTGCCCTTTAAGTACAATTTTACACAATTTGTTTATCATGTTTTCTAACTTTAAAAAATCTTCTCCTCTGAAACCACTGAACCAATTCCAACCAAACTTAAGCTGAATGATCCTTAGGGTATCTAGAATAAAGTTTGTGTTTTATTTTCTGTTTTGTAAAAAAAAACATGGCCGCCATGGCTAAAATTAGAACATAGGGGTAAAATGCAGTTTTTGGCTTATATCTAAAAAACCAAAGGAGTTAGAACGAATCGGACTGGGATAAAAGCGTTCATTAAGTGAAGTTCTATCAGCCCTGAAATTTTCAGATGAATCTAATAACCCATTGTTGGGTTGTTGCCACTAAATTGGTAATTTTAAGGAAATTTTGCAGTTTTTGGTTATTATCTTGAATAGTATTAATGATAAAGATAAACTGTAAACAGCAAATATGTTCAGCAAAGTAAGATCTACAAATAAGTTTAATATGACCAAAATTGTCAATTGACCCCTTAAGGAGTATTGCCCTTTGAGGACAATTTTACACAATTTGTTTATCATGTTTTCTAACTTTAAAAAATCTTCTCCTCTGAAACTACTGAACCAATTCCAACCAAACTTAAGCTGAATGATCATTAGGGTATCTACAATAAAGATTGTGTTTTATTTTCTGTTTTGTCAAAAAACATGGCCGACATGGCTAAAATTAGAACATAGGGGTAGAATGCAGTTTTTGGCTAATATCTCAAACACTTAAGCAATTAGAGCAAATCTGATGAGAGGTAAAAATTTTCATTAGGCCAAGTTCTATCAGCCCTAAAATTTTCAGACGAATCTAACAATCCATTGTTGGGTTGCTGCCACTTAATTGGTAATTTTAAGGAATTTTGCAGTTTTTGGTTATTATCTTGAATACTATTAATGATAAAGATAAACTGTGAACAGCAAAAATGTTCAGCAAAGTAAGATCTACAAATAAGTTTATATGACCTAAATTGTCAAATGTGCCCTTAAGGAGTTATTGCCCTTTAAAGACAATTTTTCACAATTTGTTCATCTAGTTTGCTTACTTTAAAAAATCTTCTCCTTTGAAACTGCTGAATCAATTTCAGCCAAACTTGGGCTGAATGAGTTTCAGAGTATCTAGTATAAATTTTGTATTTTATTTTCTTGTACGTCAAGAAACATAGCCACTAAGGCTAAAATGGAACATAGGGGTAAAATGTATTTCTTTGCTTTTGAAGAAAATATGACAGATACAAAGAACATCTCAATGGAATGTTTAAGCCACTCATTAGTATATATTAAAAAGCAAAAATAATCATTGATGAAAGATTTAAGCAAAAAATTACAGGTGAGCGATTCAGGCTCTTGAGAGCCTCTTGTTCACACAATAAGTTCTTTTAAGCTCATTTTATATTATGAAATTTGTGAATATAAACATTCTCATGTTGAATGATAATTCTCATAAATTGTAATGTTTTTCTTTTGTTCACAGAACAACTATGGATGTGACGATTCTACAAAGATTGGGAAAGTCAAAGATTTATATGAACAACTAGATCTACAAACAGTTTATAGAGACTATGAAGAAAATAGCTTTAACTTATTAATGAATCTCATCGATAAAAATTGTGATATGTTACCAAAAGAAGTTTTTACATCATTTGCATATAAAATTTACAAAAGACAAAAGTGATGTTATGAATAATAGGATTTCTATGTTATTTAATAACAATTTGTTTAAATGTGTAATGTAGTCTAATGAGTTTTATTATGAAAACAATTTGTATGATAAAATGTAATTTGTTTTACTTGTCTGTTTATGAGTTAGAATCATTTTAAGCATCTTGTCAATATTCCTGAATATACATGAAATATTTGGGATGTTAAGCAAATGACAACAATCAATCATTCAAAGACCTTTCACAAGTCTCATCTTTAAAAATACACATCATGCTTAGGATTTGAGTTTTCTCTTATTCACCAATAATTCAGAGAAAACTGACATTAAAATGAAAATGTTCGTTTTGTTTATGCCTGATATATATCAGCTTTAAGCTCACCTGGACAAAAGTGCCAAAAGAGCTTTTATCATCACTGTCCTTCGTCATCTGTTAACTTTTACAAAAAGCTTCTCCTCTGAAACTATTAGGCCAAATTTAACCCAATTTGGCCACATTCATTATTAGGGTGTCTCCAAAAAATTATTTTGTATTTGCTTATTATCTTAAAAACTATTAAAGTTGGATAGACACTTTATGAAGCCAAAATTATCAGCAAGACAAGATCTACTAATAAGATAAATTTTGCAGAAATCATTAGTAGACTCTTTAATTTTATAGGAGTGATTGCCCTTAAATGAAGATATTTTCACCCTGTTTTGTGTTTTTGGCAAAAGCTAAAGAAGATAGAAACTGTAAACATATAAAATGATTAGCAATACTAGAACCTAAAGATACAACTCAAGTCTGTCAGTTTAGTACAAAGCAAGGCTTATATTCATATTACTTTAATTTTTGCTTTTAATTTGCCACCAGATGTTAAAACAGCCATCAAGCATCAAAATAATTTCACCTGCCCAAGTTTCACAGAAATATTAAAGTTGGAAGAGTGATTATTAAAAACTTATGATGCAGCGGCTCTTTTCACAAATAATCTCAAGAGTAAAAATACTCGTAAGTCACCATTTTAATTGTAAAGTTTTTGTGAAAAGAGTCTAAGATTCTTCTGTTGGTCTCTTAACTTTATAATTAGAAACCTAATATATCCTTTTCAGCTAACACTTTTTTGCAATATAATTTTTGAAAATGTAACAAATTGTTAATCTAATTTTCAAGACTTTTCAACACTGTAACAAAGCAAAACACTTACATTTAGAGTATTTATCTTAACAATTAATAAACAGCTGACACAAAGATATGTCTCACCTGTCAGCAGAAAATTCAGAAAAAACAGCATGATTGCTATAATAAATTCAAAGTTGCTGGACAATAAACTAGTTGGCAGGGCCTGGAAATTATCACAAACCTGAGATGTACTGATAATAATGCAACTTTACAGAAAATATCATTGTCCATCAAACAAACTTGAGCAGAAAACTTAACATTGTAAATTTCTTATAAATTCAAATTCACTGGACCATGACCTAGGGGGAAGGGCCTTGAAATAGTCTTCAAACAGACTTGAACTAATAGCAATGCAACTTTAATCAAAATGTCATTGATCTATCACAAGTAGTTCCTATCAAATTAGCTTATGCAGAAAACTTAACATTGAAAATTGCTTATCAATTCAAAGTCACAGGACCATTAACTAGGGGGCAGGGCCTCAAAATAGTTGTCAATGATAGTAAGGCAATTTTATACAAAATATCATTGATCTATGACAATTAGTTCCAATCAAACTAACTTATGCAGAAAACTTAACATTTTCATTGATCTACAATGTATCACAAGTAGTTCCTATCAAACTAACTTAAGCAGAAAACTTAACAATTAATGATGCCAAAGTTGCCGCAGCCAGAAAAGCAACACCTTAGTGTCGCCTTCCACTACTTTCTCCATACGCGAGACAAAAACAAGAGGCTCGCAGGAGCCTGTATCACTTAACTGGCATTTTTGCCAAAAATAAATTGATACATTGCAAAAAGATTATTTGGTAAAAAGTAGCAAGAAATTGACATTCTGAGCATCATTGCTACCATGTATGTCACCCAATCAGTGCAAAAATAAGATTCTAAATAGAAAGTCTTCTTTTCAGTTCAAAAATATTTATATTTCCAAGAATTTTTTCTTTCAAAATTGATTAAAATCCAGAATTGACTCTTGGGCCATATTATTTGTCCAATCACAGCAAATTAACATAATTTTATGAAAAATATCTAATATCATACTTGGTAAGTTTGGTCCAGTTTGTCAAAAACCAAGGAAAACATGTAACTTTCCATAGGATTAAGTGTTGGGAATTATTGCGACTTGAGCATATCAGAATAGTTCTTGTCAAGTTTATTATAACAGGAATTGATATAAGAAAATTGAGCAGTAACGTCAAGAACAACCTCTAGCAGCCAGTGTTTTGCCTTATCTGGACAAAATTAATTGTTCTTTTAAAGACCTACCATTGATTATTTCTTTCAAGTTTGATCTACAAAACATAATTTTCCATATGGTTGAAAGGCAACCTATGTGGCATAATTGCTTCCTTATTTCCTATACAATCAGTTTTAAAACGACTTACCTTTGTAAAGGGTTTCCAAATCATAATAACAAGTTTCAAAAGATAAGGCCTTTTTGTTTCACCGATGAAATAACCAGAATCAATAAATGCTACTGCAGGCCATTACTCCATGAGTTGGAAAGAATCAACTAGAGGCTCTAAAGAGCCTGTGTTGCTCACCTTGGTCTATGTGCATATTAAACAATGGACACAGATGGATTCATGACAAAATTGTGTTTTGGTGATGGTGATGTGTTTGTAGATCTTACTTTACTGAACATTCTTGCTCCTTACTATTATCTCTATCTATAATGAACTTGGCCCAGTAGTTACAGTGGAAAATATTTTGTAAAAATTTACAAAAATTTACAAAATTTATGAAAATTGTAAAAAATTGACTATAAAAGGCAATAACTCCTTAAGGGGTCAATTGACAATTTTGGTCATGTTGACTTATTTGTAGATCTAACTTTGCTGTACATTATTGCTGTTTACAGTTTATCTCTATCTATAATAATATTCAAGATAATAACCAAAAGCTGCAAAATTTTCTTAAAATTACCAATTCAGGGGCAGCAACCCAACAACATGTTGCCTGATTGGTCTGAAAATTTCAGGGCATATAGATCTTGACCTAATTAACAATTTTATACCATCAGATTTGCTCTAAATGCTTTGGTTTCAGAGATATGAGCCAAAAACTGCATTTAACCCTATGTATTATTTTTTTGCCATGTCGGCCATCTTGGTTTGCGGGCAGGGTCATCGGACACATTTTTTAAACTAGATACCCTAATGATGATTGTGAACAATTTTGGTTAAATTTGTCTTAGTAGTTTCAGAGGAGAAGATTTTTGTAAAAGATTACAAAAATTTACGAAAAATGGTTAAAAATTGACTATAAAGGGCAATAACTCCTTAAGGGGTCAACTGACCATTTTGGTCAAGTTGACTTATTTGTAGATCATACTTTGCTGAACATTATTGCTGTTTACAGTTTATCTCTATCTATAATAATATTCAAGATAATAACCAAAAACGGCAAAATTTCCTTAAAATTACCAATTCAGGGGCAGCAACCCAAAACGGGTTATCCGATTCATCTGAAAATTTCAGGGCAGATAGATCTTGACCTGATAAACAATTTTACCCCATGTCAGATTTGCTCTAAATGCTTTGGTTTCAGAGATATAAGCCAAAATCTACATTTTACCCCTATGTTCTATTTTTAGCCATGGTGGCCATCTTGGTAGGTTGGCGGGGTCATCGGACACATTTTTAAAACTAGATACCCCAATGATGATTGTGGCCAAGTTTGGTCAAATTTGGCCCAGTAGTTTCAGAGGAGAAGATTTTTGTAAAAGTTTACGGACGACGGACGCAGGACGTTGGACGACAGACGCAAAGTGATGAGAAAAGCTCACTTGACCTTTCAGGTCAGGTGAGCTAAAAAGGGCCTTGTATACATACCCCTTCAAAGTTTGTTCTACATTTGCTCAGAATTTTGGAAACAAAGTTTAAATGAGAAGAGTTACTGGACAGACAATTTATCAGATGGTAAGTGATGTTTTAAGCTCATATTGACCTAAACTAAAAACTAATATACTGTTGACATAGAGATATGTTGCATGTGGGCAAAAAATTAAGAAAAAGACAATCTAATGGACAGCAACATTGCTACATAATTCAAAATTGCTGCACCATAACCTAAGGGGCAGGGCCTTGAAATAGTTGTCAAACTGACATGTACTGATAGTAATTGTCCACCAAAGTTCAAATAAAGTGGATGTAAGCAATTATAGGTAACCGTACGGCCTTCAACAATGAGAAAAACCCATATCGTATAGTCGGCTATAAAAGGCCCTGACATGGTTCATGTTAATATCACTGGTCATGAAACACCAAACTGGATAACAATTTTGCAGATCTTTATTTTATAACAAAGTACATTATACAACAATGATACAAATCATTAACAAAAAAATAGCTGCAACTTGAATGGTGCCTTTTTGATACTTTTTACAAATTCATATTTCAATGCGTTTTCTGATGGAAGAAACACGGTTAACTCAACAGTTTCTTAAGAGACTAAGTTGGCTACAGCCTTGCTGCATTTTACTCTCATGATCAAAATAGCTTAGTTCCAAGACTAAAATCCTATATTTCTGAGGTTAACATTTTTCCATGATTCTTTATTCTATGACCTTAATTCCCATATAATTATGTCCTTGACATTTGCCACTGTCACAGATACTGTGTATTGGCTTTGAGTGGCGACAGAGCTAAAAATAGTTTGGATACAGCTGTTTGTAAAACTTGTTGTAATGTCTCATCCTCACAGGCCACATCCTGTAATGCAAGTATATAAAGTTAGATCAGAAAGTAAAAATTATTTACATTGTACATCCCAATCCTGGACAGCTAGAATTCTTAAAGGGTAGTCTCGCCTGCTATTGCTACTGTCAGATTAAAACAATTTTAAAAATCAAACTTTTTTCTTCAGATGCTATTTCTTGATCTTAAAGAAGCATCTATCCATGTTTCATAACAGTCCATGAAGGATTGACAAAGTTATTTATGTGTACATTATTTTTATTTCCCAGACTGTATCTAAATGTTAACTGATAAAATAAATTGCTTTGCCGGGCGCAGCTGGATACGACCGCATAGGTCCAACCCTGAACAGTTGGGGCAAAAATGGACACAATATTCGCGCTTGATACAGGTCTGAATTTGGATTGTAATTAAATATTTGACACATAATAGGTTTCTGACACAGAATAACTGTAGTCAAAGAACTTAGAATTGGTTATATGATTTGAATTTATATTCAATTTTTTGCTTTTGTGCAATACACTGTGCCTGTGCGAATTGATCTCCCCCCCAAAAAAAATAAATAAAAATTAACCCATGTTTTATTTGCTTTTGTGCAATACACAATGCTGTTGCTTATTGACCCCCCCCCCCCCAAAAAAAAAATCCCCCCCCCCACCTTCTTTTTGCAAAAAAAAAATGTGTGAAGAAATTTTAATTTCTGAAATCTGAAATGAGAAAAAATTGCCCCCCCCCCCCCCCCCCCCCACTTTTCCAAATAAAAAAAAATTCTTTCCCTCAAGATATGGTCATAATCTCAATTCAAATTACCAATGGAGCAACCATAATTACCCATTTAAATACATCATAAAAGTCTTAAATAGATAATTTAAAAGCAGTGTAAGGGAGGTAATCAAACATTGTACAACATTGTACAATTTTGTTTTTGGATTACCTCCCTTACACTGCTTTTAAATTGTCCATTTACCAGGAAACCCTTGTTTTCCCCCCTTTTTGGCCCCAAATTCCTAAACGGTTTGAGCCATAACCCCCCAAAGCCAATCCTAACCATCCCTTTTTGGTATGGAAACTTGTGGTATAATTTCAGAGAGATCCATTCACTTAAACACAAGTTAGTGTCTGGAAGTTACAAAAATGCTTATTTTTTTGCCCCTTTTTGGTCCCTAATTCCTTAACTGTTGGTACCATAACCCCCAAAATCAATCCCAACCTTCCTTTTGTGGTATTGAACCTTATGATAAAATTTCATAGAGATCCATTTACTTAAACTAAAGTTATTGTGCCAAAAACCAATGTGTTTTTCGGACGACGACGACACCGACGTCATACCAATATACGACCGCAAAATTTTTTTGCAGTCGTATAAAAACTTAGTCCATATATGAGTAAAATGTGGAAAACTGAAGAAAAAAATGTTACCAAATTTTGCATCAGACATTATCTCTTAATCTTAAAAAGGCTTCTGGCAAAGTATCATTAAATTTATGAATTTTTTTTAAAGTTATTGATGTCTAAAAAAAATTTAACACCAGACTGTATCTAATTGCCTCCTGCAAAAAAAAAGTCCCTTTATCAGGAAAATGAACAAAACTTTTTTTAATTTTCACTTATGCTTTGGATACTGTCTTTTAATCATAAAAAATATTCTGTCTAAGTTTTGTAAAATTTCATGAAAGATTGACAATGTTATTGATGTCTGGAAAACTTGAACCTTAGACTGTATCTTAAAGTCATATGATACTTCAAATTAAAAAAAAAAGATGAATACTTTTTATATACTTGAATGGCTAAGTTTTACTAAATATAAAACAAGTGTACATGGACTCTATTCTAAAAGAAAATCATTTGTCTTATCAAATTCTTCAGAAATGTACTGCTGTAATTGAAATATTGTCTGCTCTGACTTTAATTTGACAATAGCTTTTCCGTATGCAGTGACCTTAAACATGAAACCTCTCATAAGAACTTCAGCAACCACATAGTGCATGTGGGAAGAAAAAAAAATAATGATGGAAAATGTAAACAAACATGCACTGAAAGGTAGATAGTGTTAATTGATTTTGAAAGAAAAAAATAAATACACCCAATCATTTGCACTAGATACTGTCTTTTTATCATAAAACAGCTTCTGTCTATGTTTGACAAATTTATTGATGTTTAAATAAACTTTGACCACAGAAATTGTGCTTTTTGATAAATTGGTAAAATGAAAGGAGTTACCATCAAGGGCAACACCTTTCCAATGCTACGTTTATTCTTACCAATGTGTCTACATTAATTACAGCTGTCTTATCATCTACTGTAACTGTCATTCTATCGTTCCTGATGAGCTTACTGATGGAATTAGAACCAAACATATCATTTAACATTTCTAGTAAACATTCCTGTACATGACTTTTATCTACCAACAAAGCTGGTGGTACATCTACAAACAACAGACAGTCATTGTAATCATTTTTAAAGGTACTGTGGATTCATTATTATCGCTATTTTACGAAAATTTCCTTTGATCTTAATGACTGATAATTCCCTTTCTCAGCGGAGTCGAGTGATATGAAAATTATCACTAGAAACTAAGGGGGCACGTGCCATTGCTAATGAAATTGACAACGTCGTCAGAAGTAAAATAGCGATAAACAGATTACCATAGGTCATCTCAACTCGATTGAGAAAATCAATGTCGTTGAGATGATCAGCTATAATCTATAATTACCCCATGGGTAGTCAAGGTTGTTAAAAAAAACCCTTGTTGTCGATTCATTATTATTTGTTGTATAACAGTTTTTGTGAATTTCAATCGGTTCAGGTTAAGCAGGAATTTAAATATTAAACATAATACACATTTTCTAAAGGCTGGTATGCAGAATTCTGGCAAAACAACGAATTCAAATATCCACAAAATACAATATTTCCTGAATCAAAGAAAATTGGTATCCATGAAAATAAATGAATCTACAGTATATGATATATCTGTAATTTAATGGATTGATTGATTGTTGGTGTTTAACGCCACTTTCAGCACTATTGGCTATATATTGGTGGCCAGTTTTTATTGGTGGAGGAAGACTGAGAAATCTACGACCATCAACAGGAAAATTGCCAATCCTAGTCAATTAAGATTGGAGATTTAAGGCACCTGCCTTGTGTGGATTCAAACTCACAATCTCAGTACACAGTCGCATCACAAGATTTGAATAATTTTTTTTTCATTGTTTTCACTGAATATTCAACTTTCTATTTTTACCCCACATACTGAACACTACTAAGCTTGCCTTACTTTGTTTTGGATGAATGTATCCACTCTGAAAATATCCCTTATTTTACTATCAATACTAAAAGACATTCTGATGGACAGCAACATTGCTAATTAATTCAAATTCTATGGACCATGAACTTGGGAGCAGGGCCTCGAAATAGTATTCAAACAGATATGTACTGATAGTAATGCATCTTTATAGAAAATATTATTGATCTATCACAAGTAGTTCCTATCAAACTGACTTAAGCAGAAAACTTAACATTAATAATTGTTTATTAATTCAAAGTCACTGGACCATGACCTAGGGGGCAGGGCCTAGAAATAGTCATCAAACTGATATGTACTGATAGTAAGGCAACTTTATAGAAAATTTCATTGATCTATTACAAGTATTTCCTATCAAACTAACTTAAGCAGAAAACTTAACATTGAAAATTGCTTAGTAATTTAAAGTCTCTGGACCATGACCTAGGGCTTCAAAATAGTTGTCAAACTGATATGTACTGATAGTAATGCAACTTTCTAGAAAATACCATTGATCTATCACAAACTGACTTAAGCAGAAAACTTAACAATAGTTGACGACACCGGAAAAGCAACACCTATGTCCCCTGTTGGCAATGTTTTTCAGTATACTTGAAGGTTGTTTTTTTCTGTTATGATTTCAGACAATGATATTATCTTACAAACATCTATTTTATATTGAATTTACTGACCTTAACCTAGTGACTTCAAAATCATTATTTACCGTCTCGGTGGTCTCGTGGTAGGGTGTTCGCCCAGAGTGTGGGAGGTCGTGGGTTCAAACCCTGGCCGGGTCAAACCAAAGACTTTAAAGTTGGTATTTGCTGCTTCTCCGCTAAGCATGTGACATTAAGGAGTAAAATCAAAGACTGGTAGGCTCGGAGTCAGATTAATGTGTTCGGGTAAGATGACATGTCTTTCTGCAGACTGTTACCTTGTGAACTACCACGTTAAAAATTTGGCTCAGCATATCGGTCTAGTACATAGTAGGGTAAATATTCATATTACATTAACATGTTCTCGTCCTGAATATGCATATTAATTTTCCGCTGGACGTTATGCAGCCATCCATCATCATCATCAAAATCATTAGAGATCGCCCTCTTGTTATTTGTGACAATACATGTATATCCAAATAGGGTTGCAGTCCTATATGAGGTATATGATTTAGCATCCAGAAACCTCTTATCTATAAAAATTTCTGTCTTTTTTAGTAACTATGACCTTGACCTTAAATGTGGTGACCTCAAAATCATTAGGGATCTTGCTCTGATTATATGTGACCATTTATCCAAGCAAGGCTGTAATCCCATATGTCGTATTTGGTCTAGCATCTGGAAACCAAAATGACTGACTGACAGACTTGTAAAAAAAACTATCCCCCACTACTTGGGGTATAATAAATGTTTAAGGATGTCACATGACTTCAGAAAAAAGTTATTTGCTTACATTCCATAATATTATTTCTAATATGAAATACTTACTTCTTTGTGGCATAGGATCTGATTCTGCTCTGAGTACAACTGTCATTACAGCATCTGCATACATATCTGCTACTGGATTAGCCATCCACTATAAAATCAAACAGGGATAGACAAGGATAGATAAAGATAACATACATTTAAATGATTCTGAAACATACAACATGACATTTGACAAACTCTATCACATGTCAAATATAGACAACTGTACACCAGTCATTTTTGCCATGATTTGGTGTATTACTTTTTACAGGAAGACAGATTAACCTGGAATAATCCTCTACTTAGTCCATATCTAAACTACTAAAGGAAGGGACCGATTTCATTGAGCTGCAACTCCTCTGAAACCATACAAAGTCGGAAATATTTGTGATATGACGTATAAATGTAGTGTTTTGTACTTCCTAAACTTGTCTTTGAAACAATCTTTTTTCCACAGAAAACGCCAATTTTTGAGAAAATATTCAAATTATGAGACCGTTATCGATCCGTGTCTTATACGCTTTTACACATGCTCAGTCGATGTACTGAATTCAATCATTGTCACATTGTTTCCTATTGTAGTGTTTAATCAGCATGACTTTATATGATCACATTACGAATACTAAAAATCCAAATTTAAAGTATTATAAGGCATAGGTACAGTTTCCAATTTATTAGCCAGTATGACGTAAAAATGGTGAATAAAAGAATTCAACTTTATATATAACTAATATAGGACAATGGTGTTGATTAAAAAATAAAACCATTCCAGGCCCTCTTGTTTTCCAAATAATTGATATTACCAATAAGTAATAAGTTCCAGGTCGACGGGTTCAAACAGAAAGATTTTGAAAGCAGAGAAAACCGTGCATCTTATAAACAGCATGACTTTATCAGATGACAATACGAGTACTAAAAATCCAGGCTCAAAATAAGGCTTATATATAATTACTCTAATTCAGTCATGGAACCGCGATGTCGCGGGTGTGTTCTAGTATAATATATTTGAGGCGATTGCTGATGGCATTTTTAATTAACACTATATCTCCATCTTTTTGAAATAAACTGTTTATGGAGATATCAATTATGACATATATAATGTACAAATTTAATGGCATCATTAAATTACTATACTAACTTCTATCACAGCCATTCTTGCTTCAATAACAACTGTTATACATTTGAAGACTTTTAGAGCTGGTTTACCAGAGACTTCAAACTGCTCTACATCACCAGATAACTGCTTCAGGTAATAACGTAATAGAGGTAGGGTACCAGTAAAACCTATACTGATTCTTTGTGTCACAGTACTCATGGCTAGATCAGTATAATCTGAAATAAAAATAACTCATGTTTGCCATAAAGATCTAATACTATTTGAAAGATTGCAAAAAGCAAGTAAATCTGAAATAAATTTTACATATATACATTATATTTGAACCTCAAATAAATTAATCATTTGTTTTGGTATTATTAAAATGGAAACAATCATAAATACTTTTCTTCAGATGGAAGCACTGAAATTTCAAAATTTGATATTCTATTTTATGGATACATGATTAATGTTAACATTATCAACAACATAAATAAATCTGGCTTCAAAAATTAGGAATTATTTCTGAAAACAGTAAAATACTCCAAAGGGTCGGGGGTAATAAGTTATATTCACTGTTGTTTAAAAAGAAAAATTCCCTTTGGTAACCAAGCTTCAAGCTTAAATAGGGGCCTCGGTGGCAGAGTGGTATAAGTAGTCCAACTACTGTCTCAAAATCATGTCAACACTGAGGGTGTGAGTTTGAATCCCTCATGTGGCAGGTGTGTTCGACTCCGATCTTAATTGACTAAGACTGCCACCAAAAAGCCAATAGTGCTGAAATTGGCATTAAACACCAATCAATCAAGCTTAAATATTATACCAGTTATATCAAAATAAACTAAATGCTTACTAGACAAATCTGATGGATCCAATATATGATAGTTGAAGTTCCTCTTTAATAAGATACCAGATATTTTCTTATTCTGTACATTTGTACGGTCTGCTGCCAATTTACCTACAACCTGAAAAAAACAAAAAAAAACATTATTAAAAACTTGATGAAATGATCATTTAAATATATGAGGTTTTCAATGATATTTCAACTTTAGAAAAATATTTTTTTATTTTAAATATTCATATGTAAATATTTCAGTGGTCTTTGAAACTATTAAAAAATAATAAGATATGCAATAAAAAAAAAATCTACAATATACATATCAATTGGGAATGGGTCCCATCTATAACAAATAAGTTACAGATCAAAGTACAAAGAAATTTCTAATAGATTAACAGCTGTACCACTCTAGGACAATGACCACTCTGAAATAAACTAAGGAGTTGCTTACTATACCCCCTATTCACTAGAAGAAATTGACAAGTAAATCTTGCTCAATTGGTGTCTTGCTCAGTTGGTATAATAAAAATTCAAAGTTTGGTCAAACAGGAAGACGTGCAAATTGTATGCACTGTACAACTCTAAATAGGCTTTAGAAATTAACATGAAACTTTGAAAATATTGTTTTGATGTTAGTTACTAGTTGGTCTTTGTGTTACAATTCTCATATCTAATATTTTGTAATAACAAGAGGCTCTCAAGAGCCTGAATCGCTCACCTGTTATTTTTTTGGCTTAAATCTTTCATCAATGATTATTTTTGCTTTTTACCCATATGTTCCATTTTAGCCATAGTGTCTATGTTTCTTGACGTATGTCGTAATTTCTGCTTCTTGCTATGTTTTTGTATAGTTTGAAAGCCAGCAAATACGAATAAACTCACAAAACTTGTGACTAAACTAAGGGATAAATAAATACGGCCGTCAAATCTGTTGTCTGTTCTCTCTCATCATTGGTAGCGTGAATAAATAATCAATAGTAGAAAATGATACTTTTATTAAACTTCTAGAACAGCCGATATATTTCCATACATGAACAATATTCGAGCAACAATTATATAGTTTACATACGGGGCGGAGCTACTAAAATAACATTCTTTCTCTTGTATTTTTGTACGGACCAAACAGGATTATCTTAATAAATTCTACAATGACAACGTAAATAAATGCAAGGAATACAGCTATCTGCGCTGCTTCTTACCTCTAAACTACGACCCTTACTTGTAATATAAACTGCAAGGCATACAGCTAAATGCGCTGCTTCTCACCTCTAGGAACCCCCGGGCTGAGCCTTGCTGCAAGCCAAATGTAAACACAGCAAAGACTGACGAACGTGACGTTGCACAGGTATTTATTTGAAATTCCCGGAAGTAAATATTCTTAGCAGGAAGAAAAACATAACATCAAACGCTGACATAAAATATACAAGTCCTCGACTCAAAATGCTTATAATAATACACTTTTGTTACTAAAACAATCAAGACATATTATTTCTTCCAGTTGAGAGCTCACAAATGAACACTTTTGGGTTCATGATTACAATATTTACCAAACGGTAACGTTCTGAATAATACATGACAAATTTGCGCCATATATGACGTTATCGATACATCTAATAACATAAAGTAAAACGTACGTTAATTACTCATTCAATATACTAGAAATACTAGAAATAACTTCTGACAACTCATATAAACTCTCTTAATACAATAATAACAATATTTCTTTACTTAGAAATAACCAATACACACATTTACAACAACGTACAAGGAAATGAAATACAAAATTTATACTTGATTCATTTGAGAAGATTTTTAAAGTTAAAAAACAAAACAACTTGTGTAAAATTGTCCTTAAAGGGCAATAACTCCTTAAGGGGTCAATTGACAATTTTGGTCATATAAACTTTTTTGTAGATCGTACTTTGCTGAACATTACAGTTTATCTTTATCTTCAATAATATTCAAGATAATAACCAAAAACTGCAAAATTTCCTTAAAACAACCATTCTAGTGGCAGCAACCCAACAATGGGTTATTCGGTGTGTCTGAAAATTTCAGGGCTGATAGATCTTGACCTTTTGAACATTTTTACCCCTGTCAGATTTGCTCTAAATGCTTTAGTTTCTGAGATATAAGCCAAAAACTGCATTTCACCCCTATGTTCTATTTTTAGCCATGGCGGCCATGTTTGTTGATGGATAAAAATTTTGGATACAATTCATAAACTAGATTCCTAAAGGAACATTCATTCAAAGTTAAGAAGTATTAGGCACAATAGTTTCAGAAGAGAAGATTTTTAAATGTTAGCAAACTTGATGAACACATTGCGTAAAATTGTCTTTAAAGGGCAATAACTCCTTAAGGGGTCAATTGACAAATTTGGTCATTTAACATTTCTGTAGATCTTACTTTGCTGAACATTATTGCTGTTTACAGTTTATATCTATCTATAATAACATTCAAGATAATAACAAAAAACTGCAAAATTTCCTCAAAACTACAAATTTAGTGGCAGCAACCCAACAATGGGTTGTTCGATTTGTCTGAAAATTTCAGGGCTGATAGATCTTGACCAATTGAACAATTTTACCTCTGTCAGATTTGCCTTAAAAGCTTTAGTTTTGGAGATATAAGCCAAAAACTGCATTTGACCCCTATGTTCTATTTTTAGCCATGGCGGCCATGTTTGTCGATGGATTATATCTTCGGATACAATTTATAAACTACATATCCTAAGGAACATTTAGATGAAGTTTGAAGGTATTTGGCCCAGTAGTTTCAGAGGAGAAGATTTTTAAATGTTAGCAAACTTTATGAACAAATTGTGTAAAATTGTCTTTAAAGGTCAATAACTCCTTTTAAAATGGGTCAATTGACAATTTTGGTCATACAAACTTTTTTGTAGATCTTACTTTGCTGAACATTATTGCTGTTTACAGTTTATATCTATCTATAATAATATTCAAGATAATAACAAAAAACTGCAAAATTTCCTCAAAACTACCAATTTAGTGGCAGCAACCCAATAATGAGTTGTTCGATTCGTCTGAAAATTTAAGGGCTGATAGATCTTCACCAATTGAACAATTTTACCACATGTCAGATTTGCTTTAAAAGCTTTAGTTTTTGAGATTTAAGCAAAAAACTGCATTTGACCCCTATGTTCTATTTTTAGCCATGGCGGCCGTGTTTGTAGATGGATCAAAACTTCGGATACAATTTATAAACTAGATACCCTAAGGAACATTTAGTTAAAGTTTGAAGGTATTTGGCCCAGTAGTTTCATAGGAGAAGATTTTTGAAATAGTTTACGACGACAGACGATGACAGACGACGGACGCCAAGTGTAGCATAAGCTCACATGGGGCCCTTTGGGCCCCGGTGAGCTAAAAAAATTGGACAATCCTTTAATCAATTTTGGATAAAACACATGCAATTAAATAAGCGATTTAGTTGTAATTCCTGAATAGATAATAATGAGAGAGCTTCTATTTGATTTTCATCAGTGATTTTTAATACCAAAATACAAGATATTTTGTTTTGATCCTTTCCAGCATCCTATTAGATAAGAACTGGTTTTTTCCTTTACCTTCGCCATTTTTTCTCCTCTAAAGTTTAATTCTACAGACACTGTATTACGAGGATTATGTACAAATGGTTGATATTCAGTGTCATCTTCATACTCTCTAACTAAAGCTGCCTTTAATCTGGACATTTCATTCTGTTCTCCATGGACAAGAACCTATGTGTAAATAAAACTCTGATATATAGATGGGCATAAACACATATCATGAGGCACATTAATAAAGATAGTTAGTTCAGTATTATCAATTTTAGTGTCGTCCTTTATCATTAAACATCATGCATCAACTAACCAAAGATCTTCACTCTATAATGTGTTGTTGCTTAGATCTTGAACTGAACTTGAAATTTGACTATAGCCATTCATGCATAAAATGAAGACCATGGTCACCTATTCTAATGTGGAGCTTTGCCAATAAACATGTGGTTGTTCAGATTTGACCTTAATTCAAAACTTAATCAAACACATTCATGTGTTAAAGGGTAAAGGTAACTTAGTTTTAGTCTGGACCTTCATCACTAACCATGATAAAACATCAGACAAAAGAGCATGCATCTGTGGTTTGTAGTTGCTTAGACCTGGACATTAGTGTACAACTTACCCACAGCCATTCATGCATAGTTCTTCTTGTTTGAATTGTTATGCATTTGTCATTTCAGGGCCTTTTGTATCTCACTATGCAGTATGGGTTTTGCTCATTGTTGAAGCTTGTACAGTGACCTATAGTTGTTAACTTCTATGTCAGTTGGTCTCTGGTGGAGAGTTGTCTCATTGGCAATCAGACCACATCTTTTTATATAAAACAATTGTAAAGGTCAAACAGTTTTCATGTGGACCTTTGCCACTAAAATTCATCAACAGACAAAAACATCATTCCTTTATGATTTGTAATTGCATAGACATGGAATCAAAAAAGAGTGCACACAGTGAAATGTTTCGCCTGCTTTACTGACCATTGATTTTATGCTGAGAGTTTTAAAGATAAAGGTTTTACAACAAGTATCACATAAACTAAACCATTTTTAAAGATCCATTACAATGAGGTGCAGGTCAGATAAAAACTGTCAGACAGACATGTTCACCTTACAATTATTCCATGCACCAAATATAGTAAGTTGACCTATTGCTTATGGTAATTGAAACAGACCAAAACACAAAAAATTTACATTGAACAATGAACCATGAAAATGAGGTAAAGGTCAGATAAAACCTGTCATACTGACATGTGCTTCCCATTTGTCTTGCATACTGCGACTATCGTCGCAGGTGAGACAACAAAAACCTTAACCTGGATTGAAGAAAGAAAAAACAAGACTGAATAGATTAAATGCTGTTATCACATTCCCAACTTTGTAAGACAAGGGGATAAAAAAAAGATGATGGGTTGTGTGTGAAATAATAATTTTGAATAATGTTTAAAAATTTCAGTGGATTGAGGAATTTTTATTAGCAGTTTTGATCTTGAATCAGAATGTTATTCATAAACATATTTTGATCCCTTAAGTCTCATTTGGTAGGTTCAAACTTTATTTTTTAACAGAAGGGTAATTATTCACAGAAGACACTTTCACTCAAAAATCTAAATTTTATGAGTTGTAAGTTGTAATATTGCTCACTTACTATATGTGTTGGTTTGAGTATTCTGATGAATTCACTAGTCTGTTGATAATCTGTATGAGCTGAGAATGAGATATAATCTACAGAACATTTCAAGGGTAGCCTGGCACCAGCCATAGTTACAATATCCTCTGGTTCTGATAAGATGTGCTGTAAAGAAAAGTAGCATTCATTTATTAATTTTATAACAATAATTTGTAACATAAAAACTTCTTCCGTTGGAGGGAGCTTTTATACAACACTCAGACAGGTTTATAAAAATATTGTTACCCAGTGTGAGTTAAATTCTCTTGTGCTATAAAATGACCATTTGTGTTGCTGTGTTTGGTGGCTAATTTATTTTTACATCACATTACTGGATTCAACATCATTATTGTCCTACTCTATTATGGGGTTTTATTCAAGAGAGAAAGAACAAGAATGTGTCCATAGTATACGGATGCCCCACTCGCACTATCCTTTTCTATGTTCAGTGGACCGTGAAATTGGGGTCAAAACTCTAATTTGGCATTAAAATTAGGAAGATTATATCATAGGGAACATGTGTACTAAGTTTCAAGTTGATTAGACTTCAACTTCATCAATAACTACCTTGACCAAAAACTTTAACCTGATGAGGTAGACGGACGAACGAAGGAACGAACGAAAGGACGAACGAACGGACGCACAGACCGAAAAACATAATGCCCATAAATGGGGCATAAAAATAGAAACAAAATAAATCTCTATTTGCTCATGAGATACAATATTTCTACTCTTTCCATAGTGAAGATTAATTCAATGACTGAACAACTAATTTCCTAAAATTCATCTCTTTTGAGTGAAGAAATTTCATAACCAACACAATAAAGAATCTATATTTACATGTATACCCTGAAACAACACAGGTTACCATCCATATAAAATATTAAATTTTGAATTCAATGAAAATGAATTAAAGTCATATGAAACTTCAAATTTAAAAAAAAAAAGTTGAATATGTTTTATATACTTGATTACCATCCATATAAAATATTAAATTTTGAATTCAATGAAAATGAATTAAAGTCATATGAAACTTTAAATTTAAAAAAAAAAAGTTGAATATGTTTTATATACTTGAATGGCTAAGTTTTACTATAAAACAAGTGTACGTGAACTTTCTTGTAAAAAGAAATCCTTTATATTATCAAAATCTTCATAAATGTACTGCTACTGAATAATATGGAAAATATAAAAAAAGTATCATGGCTCTGTTAATTCACTTATTTGTCTCGTGTTCCACTTGCTCTGTGTTGATTGTTTATCAATGTCACGATCCAGTAAACTAAAGTTAATTAGCTTGCCATCAACAATCACTGAATGAAATATTATTTGTCGATAATACATTATAGGTTCGAAAGGCCATAAAAAAGAATATGTTTGTTTGTCCTAACCCTACCTACCCAGAAAATAGCTGCCTACTCAAAATTTTGTATTGTCCTGATGTGAAAAAGTTTTTTTTTTAATTAGATAGGCATGAAGACTAAAAAACATCTGACACTTCAATTTCTCTTTGCGGAAAAAAGAAAGAAAATGCCTACCTACCTAACCACTGTCTCTACCTTTGGGTAGGGTTTTGGCAAACCAAAATATTTTTAAGTGTGGCCTAATATACATGTATATAAAAATGTGGATACAGGACTTAGTTTAGTATATATGCATGCATTGGTTCAATAATTTTGATAACATTAAAATTACAAGAAACTCTTTTCATATGACTTAAAGGCTAGCTTGTAGAGTAAGAATACATCAAAGAAAAAATCTATTATATTTGTATAAAGTAAGATGTAGGGTATATGTTAATGAGACAGCAACCCAATGACAAAATCAAAAGACATCTAAATATTTTTAGATTTGAGGGCACAAAAAATTAACAGGAGCCAGTATGTGACAATGATCATTTTTACAATATTTCAGATTGAACTGCTTATCACCTTTGCTAATGTACCCTCTACGCAATAACCAGCAATTATACAGCCATTTCTTTTATCTGTACACCAATTCTCAAACAGTTCCCTGGAAAGTCCACTCTGCATCATACCTGGGCTAGCCAGTACAACTGAAGGTCCAATATCTTCAAAATGTTCCATGCTCTATAACAAGAGATTAGATATATGTAGCTAGTACATATACAATTGTATCGAGAATTTTAATTGTATGCCCAAATTTGCTAGATGTTTTCTACTAACATCTTACCATTATGTTTTTAATCATCCAAACTAAATAAAATCTTGTACAATTACCACTTCCATGAAAAGCATTGAAAACCATAAACATTACTAATTCTCCATAAATGGTTAAGGTTTTATACACAATTTTTTTAGATTTTATTACAACTGTAAATTTAGAAATTTTTGTGTGCATTTATTATTGCTATTTTTGAAGAATGGACAAAAACATGAGATTAATTATTGCAATTTCCATTAAAAACTGCATACAAAAATTATGCAATCAAATTTATAATGCGATTTTTCATTTTTGTGGTACTGATTCCTTCTCATTTTTCGAACGATAAAAACATCTCAGAAATTTCAGACTTAACAGTAATTGTCAAATGTGCCTGATTAACATACATACCTTTAAATTAGATATATGTTTGAAGACAAATGGGTTGCTGATGCTGATCTGTCGTTTGATTTTATCGTTCATGGCATTGATATAAGTCTGATAGACTGTCATACATTTCTTAGCCAGGGATGAAGCATAGTATATAGGAATATCATGTAATTCAGGGTGATTACTCCAGTATTCATCTAAAAAGATATTTGTAAAAATAAATTTTCAAAACTTAATATTAACAATAGCAAAGACAATTTCAAATCATATCTTCTGTGTTGCTGATGAAATACTTTAAAGTATAGCATAAATTTCAACTTTTGTCTGTGAAGTTCTTTTGAAATTTTGATTGGACTTGCAGAAATGATATTAAGATAACATTAATTTAATTTTTATATCTTTATTATATTCTTAAGCATACACAAACCTAGAATCAGTAAAAGTTCCTGAGCTCTTCCAAGTGCAAATACTGGAATGAGACACCTTCCACCCCTACTGACTATATCATGGACCAGTCCAGTAAATCTTGCTTCCCTGTCTTCCCTCTTCTCATGAATGTGTGTGCCATATGTAGCTTCCTGGGAAAATAATATTCATTAAACAGTAAAATGTACAAAATGAAGGTGTACTGTAGGAGTTATATTGCATTCAAAACCATTATTTCTAATTCAATAGTTATGTGACAAAATCAGCTTTTTAGAAAAATTTAAAAAGAACTATTCAAACTTAATGATGCTTGAAAAAAGTTCAAGTATTTCACACATTCTGTTTCTGTTCTGTACTTATCAATATCAAGTCAACATCCTGTATTAGTAAAATGTGATTTTTAAAATGAAAGTCGTTTCTTATTAGTGTGTTATTGCATTTATAAAGAGTGTAGCATGAATGTAAGTTCACTGATGCTGCACACTTTAAACGATGCACTGTCAATTAACAGAACCACCATTGTACGAGTTAACGTTGTCCAAGTACAAAGTTATTGTTTTTGAGTCAGTCATTGTCAAATTATTACATTGATTGCCTTTTCTTACAAAGTTAAAAAAGATTAAAAATGGGATTTTTTCTTTATATTGATATTTGACATTTAATTCTAGTAGACCAGGTTCTTTTTACCTCAGTAGTAATTAACATGCAATTAACAAAATGAAAGCTGACATAATTTTTAAATGTGATAATGATAGCTTACAACAATCAATATATCTGGGTGAACATTTGGTATTTCTGCTTGCATTAAATGTCTGTCTTCTTGTCTGGAGAAATCACCTGTGTATAAAACCTGGAAAGAAACAAAAATAGAAATATGGTTCTATAAGATGGTTTTATATTAAATTATTGTATGTATATTTGTGGTCAGATATTTCAATATTTTTAATGTATTTCTACTGACATTGAAAGATTTTCAGATTTGAAATATGAATAAAATTTCATTAAATACTGAAAGTATCTTTTTGTTTTTTCATTGAGTGTAAAAAATGACCACAAATATGTTTGTATAAAGTAGGAAGTGTCAAATGAATATTGTGTTATTTAAAAAACACTGATACATGTATAAAGTAATGTTTTGAATTAATGTAATTAGATTGCTTTGGAACGTTTTCATTTTGATAACCAATAGGCTTCAAATAAATTTTGTTCCAAAAATAAAAGAAGTTTAATTTGAAGTGTGACTGACTATCCACATTTGACTTGCAGTTAAATTTTTAATTGTCTTTTAAATTTTTCTAGTATTTGTTCACAAGAAAAGCTCTCATTGCAACAGATGTAGCAAGGACCATGTATACTATGAATTAAAAAAAAAAGATTCAATTTGATATGCATGTAGGAATGATAACCATGGCAGAACAAATGTCAGATGATATCTGCTCATGTTTTCTAACAATTTGACCTGTGGCACTGACCTTGACACCAGCTATTTCTATCATAAACATGGCAGCTCCAAGAACATGTCCTGCTGTGTAGCACCAAAATTTAATTCCATTAACCTCTACTTCCTGTAAATAAAAGATTCCTCTATTAATGTGCAAAGTACATGTACATAACATCACAGAAGATATTTTGTTCCGAAAGCTTGCTTTCAAGATACAATGTAGGTGGTATAATTGCCAATAAGACAAATTTCCACCAGAAACCTCAACCAGAAACCATATGACATAAAAGTTAGCATCTATAGGTCACTGTACGGCCTTCAACAATGAGCAAAACTCATACCGAATAGTAAGCTATCAAAGGCCACAAATGTATAACAATTCAAACAAGAAAACTAACGGCCTGTTTTATGTACAAAACTATAAAAACTACAAAGAAATATGATGTTTCCTATTTTCACATTTTCATCTACTTGTTACAAATTAGTACAATTTCTGAGGCATGTTTTTTCTTAGCAATACAAGCACAAACACAATTTAACACATACCAGTTAATTAAGACTTGCTGTGTTATCAAATATCTACATAGTTCATAAATTGTTATTTTTTTTTAATTATTTCACTTTTTACAAATGTTATCCCCTGGTTTATGTTAACTTCAATACATAGAATTTTGTCTTAAAGTAATAATCAAAGAATCATATGCTGAGAGCTAGCCAGATAATCTGACTTGAATATGAACATTTATACACATAAATTATTAAATCAAGTTATTTCTTTTCAAATGTTTTGTTCAAAGCAGTTGTTGGAAATTTTCTTTTCCAAAATACTGAAAGGAATATAAACTTGCTACTTAGTGAAAATGTTTACTGAAATGAAGCATAATCAACAGTTAAGTAAACTTTGTGGATAGTTATCTCATTGACAATCATACCTCATAATTTTTATATTGTAAATGTCAACTTATCTTCATTTTGGATAACTGAGACTTAAATGTCACCCTTTTATAAAGGGGTTCAGAAAATCTAGAAACAATCAGCAAGGAAATCAGGATACCGTGTCTACCATAATGCATTAAGCACACCTCTATTAGGCATTTGAATCTCTGTGTAAAGAACAACTGACAGGTCTAAACTCAAAACTATCAAACAGGTCATTACCAGCAAATATGACCAATTAATAAGAATATGAGTACTGTGGATACATTATTATTCGTGGATGACTAATTTTGGTGGATTTTGTAGGTAGTGTAGGTGAACAATGAATTTAAATGTTCAATGAAGTAGATATTTACTATAGGCTTGTATACATGCCGACTTCAGCATTACCATGAAATCAAATATCCACAAAAATAAAGTTTTTCTCAATCCACGAAAATTTGAACCCACGAAAAAAATAGAATCCACAGTATATCATTGTATATCAGCTTCATTTTTTATTCAATTCAGGAAAAATGACTTGGTAGTACATGTAGATGATTAAAATGATGTTTTTTACTTCCTGTTAGTCATCTACTCATACATGGTTTTATTAGTTTAAAATTCTGCCCAATTTTAAAATCTAGAGAGATGACAAAGACACAATGGTTGGCTCAAAAAACTTCAATATGATTTTGTCTTACCTGATGAAAATTCAAAGTCTCAATTTTGTCCATACTTTTCTCTATATCACTATCTGCATATAGCTGATATTCTGTGGATATATTACTGCAAAATACCAAAACATATGATACAACAGTTTGCTGATAATATAAGAAAGAAATGAAAAGCCGAAGAATCATCTCAGAGGAAATGATTATGACTAATTAAAAGGTTGAAAGTCTTTGATGGCAAGGTCTTACTACATGTATCAAAAAAGCTTAACATTGATCAATGAACAATTAAATGAAGGTCAATGTCAGTTGACCCCTGTCACATGGACATGTAAACCATCCAATAATTCTACAGACCTAATACAATTCACCCAATACTTGTAGCAACTGAGAATTTTACCCAATCCTGAACACCTACCATTGATCATTGTTACAATGTACATGAAAATGAGGTCAAGTTTGGGAGAAACTTATCAAACAGACATACACACCCTAAGGTCAAGGTAGTGTAAGCGGGCTGTGTCACATATTTTGGTAAAATTTTGCATACAACTTAGGCTTGTTGAACTTTAAAAATAGAAAAAGTAATGCATCCATCTCTTTATTTTCTGAAATATTACTGAATGATTTTTCTTTCATAATCATAATAATAGGTGAACATTTGTATAGAAAGCACATAAAATTGACAAAAAATGTTCTTAAATTTGCCTTAAAATCATCAAATCTACAATTACAAGTCCATAGATTTTTCTTACCAAATTATATGTTGTTGATGTATACATAAATTTCTGTTTTAATGATGTAAAATAACTAGAGGCTCCAAGGAGCCTGTGTCGCTCACCTGATTTTTTTGTTTACAATTGATGCATGAAATAATGCAACCATTATACTTTTGCTTTAGTTTCAGTGATATAAGCCAAAAACTTCATTTTACCCCTATGTTCTGTTTTTAGCCATGTCGGCCATGTTGGTTGGCAGGCGGGGTCATCGGACACATTTTTTAAAATAGATACCCTAATAATGATTGTAGCCAAGTTTGGTTGAATTTGTCTCAGTAGTTTCAGAGGAGAAGATTTTTGTAAAACATTACAAAAATTTACGAAAAATTGTTAAAAATTGACTATAAAGGGCAATAACTCCTTAAGAGGTCAATTGACAATTTTTGTCATGTTGACTTTTTACAGATCTTACTTTGCTGAACATTATTGCTGTTTACAGTTTATCTCTATCTATAATAATATTCAAGATAATAACCAAAAATTGCAAAATTTCCTTAAAATTACCAATTTGGTGGCAGCAATCCAACCACGCATTGTCTGATTTGTCTGAAAATTTCACTGCAGATAGATCTTAACCTGATGAACATTTTTACCATTGTAAAATTTACTCTTAATGCTTCAGTTTCAGAGATATGAGCCAAAAACTGCATTTTACCCCTATGTTCTATTTTTAGCCATGTCGGCCATGTTGGTTGGCAGGCCGGGTCATCCGACACATTTTCTAAACTAAATACCCTAATGATGATTGTGGCCAAGTTTGGTTGAATTTGGCCCAGTAGTTTCAGAGGAGAAGATTTTTGTAAAAGATTACAAAAATTTACGAAAAATTGTTAAAAATTGACTATAAAGGGCAATAACTCCTTAAGGGGTCAATTGACAATTTTGGTCATGTTGACTTATTTGTAGATCTTTCTTTGCTTAACATTATTGCTGCTTACAGTTTATCTTTATCTATAATAATATTCAAGATAATAACAAAAAACTGCAAAATTTCCTTAAAATTACTAATTCAGGGGCAGCAACCCAACAACGGGTTGTCTGATTTGTCTGAAAATTTCAGGGCAGATAGATCTAAATCTGATGAACATTTTTACCCCATCAAATTTACTCTTAATGCTTAAGTTTCAGAGATATAAGCCAAAAACTGCATTTACCCCTTATGTTCTATTTTTAGCCATGGCGGCCATGTCGGTTGGCAAGCGGGGTCGTCGGACACATTTTTAAAACTATATACCCCAATGATGATTGTGGCAAAGTTTGGTTAAATTTGGCCCATTAGTTTCATAGAAGATTTTTGTAAAAGTTAACCAACGACGACGACAACAATGGACGAAGACGGATGCCAAGTGATGAGAAAAGCTCACTTGGCCTTTCGGTGAGCTAATAATAGGGTCACCGACTGTTTTAATGGCATTCATGGTTCAAACTGGTGTGATATGTGAAAAAATACCACAAAACGTTGAAATGATTTGATTTTGATTTTTGGTGTTTTAACGCCACTTTTAAGCACCGCTTTTGGGCTATTTCGAGGCGGTCAGTTTTTATTGGTGGAGGAAGCCGGAGTGCCTGGAGAAAACCACAACCTTCAATAGGAAAACTGACAATCCTAGTCAATTAAGATTGGAGTCCAGTGGACCCACACGAGCGGGGTTCGAACTCACAACCTCAGTGTTGACTGGCTAGTGATTACAGTAGTAACTACTTAGACCACTCGGCCACCGAGGCCCCTCAAAACGTTGAAATGAGCATAACTACATCGATTTATAAGCTGTAAAAAGTAGATTTTTAGCATTTTAACTACCAAGTAGGTAACAGCTTGGTAAATACACAAAAAAATTAACGGTCAGTGATCCTATTATTTTATATCAATCAATTAAGAAATGAATGCTCCTTTTTGTAATTTTATTGGGGTTTAAAAGTGTTGACCAAAGCACATATAAACACTTTTACAAACCTATCAAATTACTAAAAGAAGCATTAATTTCTTATAATTACATTTTTATGCTAAGTATATCAAGTTTTTCCTTTATGTACCTGTCCACGTTTTTGTGGAAGCACGTGTCATCACAAATGTAACATTTCATTTTGATATGAAGGTTAATTTTTGAATGATGCGCGATTGTTGTTAAACAATCAAACTAATGGATTCTCGTGAAACATAAATGTAATGTAATTATACAGAAATGAATGAAAAAGGAAAGTATGCTAGATACACTTACTGGAAATGTGAAGATATGATTGAAGCTTTAAATTTTCTCCTGGACAACATATATGTACGTTTCGGCAATAAAATGTATCGACAAGTAGTAGGTATTCCTATGGGCACTAACTGCGCCCCTTTAATAGCAGATTTATTCCTGTATTGCTATGAATCTCACTTTATGACCAAACTCAGGAAAGACACGTCATTGTTACATTTGGTTGATACATTCAACAATACTTTCCGTTATCTAGATGATATTTTTTCGTTAAATAATCCAGAGTTCTGTAAATATACTACCGAAATTTACCCAATAGAACTTACTTTAACTAAATCTAACATAAACAGCAGTAGTTGTCCTTTTCTGGATTTTTCAACCTCTAAAGGAAAACTCCATACGAAAATTTACGACAAAAGAGACGATTTTTCATTCCCTATTGTTAATTTTCCTTTTTTAGACGGCGATGTTCCTTTGGCTCCATCATACGGTGTTTATATATCCCAACTCATTCGTTATGCCCGTGTGTGTGTAGTGATGTCATAGATTTTTACGAACGTAATCAATGCATCACTGGTAAATTATTAAGTCAGGGATTTCGCTACCATAAATTACGTAAAACTTTTGCTAAGTTCTTTCATAGATACAAAGATTTGATTAGTAAATTTGGCTGTACCTGTAGAAAACTGATTAAAAACAGTATTTCACATCCTATATTTTACGGTAATATTGTACTTAAAGGGCGAAAATCACTATGTGATCCGTGTAAACTCATCAAACCTTTAAACAAACTTATTAGTAAAGGTTATCTTACCAATGTTGTAATTAGATCTTTGAATATAGTTTACATTAGTACTAATATCGATTTTGTCATCAGCAAATTAAAACATAATTAAATTTGTATTCTTTTCAAACGGGATGTATAAAGACACACCCATGTTCATTTTGATCTATAAAGAGGTTAAACTCCTAACAATCCTACTGCCTGTCGATACATTTATTTTTGGCATTGCACAAGTCATGTCTTCTTTGACTGTCCATGACGTTAAAATACTAAATCCCTGGGATGTGTTTTAGTTGATTTTAGTCTCTGATGCATGATTTTTTATTATTAATTGTTTTGGCTTTTAACTAACTGTCAGTAACTGCAAGTACTCTCAAATCGTACGTTCTTGTATATTTGACCTGTTGATACTAATTGTACTGCTTTTTTGTTATTAAATGTTATTCAGGGTTATATCTGGTCTATATACCAGCTTTGATAAGTGTTTGGTATTACTATAAATTTTCACTTCGTACTATGAACATCAAAAATATTTCCTTTTTCTATTGGAACTGTACACGTATACCTAACAACAAAATATTTTCATTTACCTGTGTTTAAAGGAATTGCAAATGGCTAAATTTTTGTTCGAGCATATTGTTTTTCTTAAATTGTTTAACATTTCATACCGATATAACATGTTACTTTTATTATTCTTCCCTTAGTTTATTTATTTTGTATTTACATTGTATCATAGGTCAAATTTATTTGTTCAGTGTATGTTCACTGGTGTTAATATGTCCTTTGATTGAGTTAAGCTATTTCAGTTGATATTTTATAGTGTGTCTTTCTATGTTGTGATGTTACACTATTGTTTCAGAAAAAGGGTGAAGGTTTGGTACCATTAAAACGTTTAAACCTGCTGCATTTGTTTGCACCTGTCCTAAGTCAGGAATCTGATGTTCAGTAGCTGTCGTTTGTTGATGTGGTTCATAAGTGTTTCTCGTTTTTTATATAGATTAGACCGTTGGTTTTCCCGTTTGAATGGTTTAACACTAGTAATTTTTGGGGCCCTTTATAGCTTACTGTTCGGTGTGAGCCAAGGCTCCGCGTTGAAGACTGTACTTTGACCTATATTGGTTTACTTTTATAAATTTTGACTTCGATGGAGAGTTGTCTCATTGGCACTCATACCACATCTTCTTATATCTATTCAATAACATATCATTTTTCCTCTCGAAACCTTGCTGACTTCTTTCTCTTCAAATCCTCATCTGTATAAAGTTAAAACTGATGATGCATATAAATTGTGGAAAAAAGGCGACCTTTTTGGGTATAATTCAATTTACATACGTATAAGTGTATTCTGGGAACAGTATATCTAACGGGAAATGAATCTGATACGCTTTTCAGTATAAAATTGATAAAATCTCGGACTCCCCGAGACTTCCCAAGATTTACGGATTTTGGTAGCGTCTGACTGAAAAACTATCAGAACTGCTCAACATATAAACCACATAACTCTAATTGTAAATAAATACAAGTTTTATCATTTAGTAGATATATTTTGTCATATAAAATTACCAAAATAAGTTTGATTTATTTGATGTGAAGTGTTTTATAATAGTTTGGGAATTTGTAAATCATCGCGGCAATGGCCGCCATTTTTTTATTACCTGGTTTGCATTCTGCACAATTCTGTGATGAAATGCTTGCGATTTTAACAAATTTGAAGTGACAGAATACAAGTTTGATACACTAGCATCGCTATAAAACTAGTTTGAATGACATTATATTGATAATATCAGAAATCATTAGGATAATAGCATGTCCGTTTCTGTATCGTATCTTTATTAACTATGGCACGACGATAAAATCGACTACAATCAGGTAGTGTCAAGTCCCATCAATATATATGTTCCTGGTGTATTTAGTATTTACTGTTACTTTACTTTAATGTAAGTGACACAGATAAAGGTGACATTAAAATCAGTTGGAACTATTTAAGTCTACCTGACTTTGACGTAATCTGACAACAGCCATCTATAAATAGCTTTTGAAGCATGGGTCATGAAACATCTTCCTTTGAATGCTGTTTTCTCTAGGAAATATGGCAATGCTCCACAATGATCTAAATGAAAGCTATAAAATATAAAGAATACATAATTTTATAGTTCTGAAGGAAAACTTAACTTAGTGTACCCTTAATATTATAACTTAGAATATACTACACTTATCAGATCTGTTTTATCATGTTTATTCTATCATTTTTCATAAAATCATAGTATACGTTTTTTTTCCTGGAATTATAATCACCGCATGAAATGTGAAAATTTGAAATGTGTATAAAAAACAAATGCTTTCAATTAAACACTTACTGACTGATCAGCAATAAGTCTATGTCTTCAACATCTACACAATCTAGGTATGGAAGGGAGGCAACTCCATGTAGTCCTGGGTGAATACCACAGTCCAACTACAATATATGAAATATGTCTCTTTAACAATATACATGATATATATACACTTACAATTGCTACATTTGCTTTAATTGTTAATTGTATGCATTGCAAGTTGACCTCTGTTAATTGATGCATTAAGCTTGTGGGTCAAGCCATAATTTTAATAGTAAAAAAGATGTGTCTAAAACCAAAGTCCTTTGAAGAGTTTTCTTTTTGGTAACATTCTGCATAATACACTCACAAGGCAATATTTAATATGTGAACCTAAATATCTGCCATTTTTGGTTACATGTATTTCAAGACTCCTACTTACAACTGATTTGACCTTTTTCTCCAAGCTAGCGGAGTACATATTGACAGAACTGATCCTCAAAACCACCTTTACTTACAACATATATATATGAAAGAGGTACTTTATGGACCCTTTTATGTAATATGTACATTTATTGTTTTTTTTAATGACAATATTGTGAATTAATCCAAGCTGTTGTATTCTTTCTTAGATAAAAGGATGGGGGTCATCTATATTATGATGAAGATTTTCCTGTATATAAGTACACAAATGTGATTTTGATATTTGATCTTACAAGGTTGATTTCTTAATGTTAAAGGAATTATTACAATCAACACCAGAAAAAATTTAATTAATATTATTAGCTAAAATATAATATCAGATAGCTCAGGCATTTTCACATGACAAACAACTCTTTATGGTTTCATTATTGTATGAGTTAGATAAATTGGGATATTTTTCCTCAAAAGTGAAAGATTTGAACTCCCAAATGTCCCAGGAAAGTGAAACAAACAGAAAAATAAAATAGCATCTATAAAGACTTAAGTGGACACTAACACTTGTAACTTACCATAATTTTCTTTCCTTTGAATTCCAGTATGTGACATGATCGACCTACTTCTTGACCAGAACCTCTGCAATAAATATTAGCAATATGAGAGATGTATGATATATAATTAAGGTTCATCATAACCTTTTGGCTAATATGGCCGTATTTACACCACAAATTTTACTCTCAGTACAGACAAACCTGTTCACCTGGAAAAGTTTTAAGGCATGGCAGGAACTAGATAATTAAATTTTAAATGCATTTTATGTTTCAGAAAATTATAAACTTTTCTGGATTTTGCTATTCATTTTTTTTCATTCCTGCAAAAGGTGCCAAAATAAACTAAGTTGGGAAAGAGGTTTGAAAAGCTCCCCTCATATTATAAATGTTGTGAGTAGTATTGATTTAAATGGACAATAGACATCTGCAAACAATAGGTGATTTAAACTGTGCAACTGAGTGGACCGTATCAAATGAAACTCATGTGTTAATTTTGCTATCTTCTGCAAACTGGAAAAAAATGCACATCAAAATCCAGGTAAGTTTTTAATTTTCTGAAACATAGACTACATATAACTTTTATATATCTAGGTCCTGCCATGCATTAAAACTTTCCTAGATGCTTCAGTTTGTCTGTACGCATAGTAGATTTTGTGGTGTAAACACGGCCATATTTTTCAATTCCTTTTGATGAACCTTAAACTTACAAGTTAAGTCAAGGAAAAGAAGTTTAATCCCAAAGAATAAAGGTCTGCCAAATCGCCCCACGCATGAAAAGTAGTTTAATCCCTATGAATGTCAGGCCTCATATCCCACTGAATAAAATTAGATCTGCCAACTTGCCCCAATAATGAATACTAAATTATGAAAACCTTAGAAAGACACAACTTGATGTGTGTAAAGGCTAAGCACAGTTACTATACTTTGCATGAGAGGACAACAAACTAAGTACTCTATAATATATATATCTGAGTGAAAATATATATGCTAACAAAGGTTTTATAATCAACTGATCACTTTCTTCTATAGGAACTTGGCCTTCTGTTGTTTCATTAGAAGCCATTTTTTTCAAATTGATACTTCTTTGTATGACAAACAGAACTTACTTAAATGCCCTAAAATGTCATTAATTTTTATACAATGATACAAAAAATAACTTTGAATCATACAATTTTACATATATGTTTGAACTCTTTATATTAATTTTATTTTTTTATTTAGCAATACATTCTTTTTTTTAGTTTCGTTTCTTTTAAAAATCTGCTTTTGTAAAATTCAAGATGTCTGCGCCCATGAAAAAATGCCGAAGAGTATAGCATTGTACATCTTAAAATTTAGTGTTCAGTTTGAATTCAACTTTGTACATTTCATATCTGTAGTCTTCTTATGGGACACAATTGATTTTCTGGGGGTGGGGTGCGGGTATCAGGAGATTTTGAAAATGAATATCCTGTCCTGAATGGAGGCCTAGAGCTGAACATGCTGAACATAAATAACCTTGCCAAAGGCAAAGACAGGACGAAAATGAATATTCTCCAACACAAAAATTAATGCAGAAATCAATCGTGTTCAAATATTTGCCACAATGCCGTGGAAAAATAAGCATGCATAGCAACAGATGTGATCCCCTATCTTAGCTTTAATCATGTTAATGGAATCAATATGCATCAGCAGCAGGGTAAAGCTCAATTGCATGTAATTTGCATATTTTGGCAAATTCATGTACACGAAAATTATACGAAAACAATTCAACATGGTCAGATGATAAGAGTTAATATCCATGAAGGTAGAAATAAAATTTTCCAGTTTTATGCTCCAATTTGGATGTTTTTTCATCTTATTTGGGCCCAGAATTGGTTATTTTTGGAAAGCCTCCAGATACACTGGTTTGCTCAAAAACACTTTTAAATTTATTCTTATTTTTGTTGCTTTTTAACCCTTACCATGCTGGGACTGTAATATTACACTCGTACCCAAAATACCGTTATTTGGCTCCAATGGCTCTCCATACTTTTAGAGGTCAACATTTTTACATTAATTTTGAAGTTTATGTATGTTCCCTCAACCTTAGGCTATTTATTGTCTGTTTCACAGGTTAAAGGTACATTTTGAGATCAAATAAGAACTTGGAAAACTGAAATCTGATAAAACTGTTTTTTTGGAGGGGTGGGCATCCCTTCAGTGTCTGACACTTGCAGTTCAGAGGTTTAAAACTTCCAAAAATAGTGTAAACCTGCAGGAATAGAACTAATGATTGAGTTTATTATTGAAATACACTTAGTGAACGACCACTTCCGGTTGCAGGTCCAGTTGAAGCCAAAAATTGGAAAAATCGTGAAATTTTGGATTTTTTGTACAAATGACCTTCTTTAGATTGCTATATCCAGATCAGTTTCACTCCGACCTAAGCTTTGTTGTGGTTAATGTGTTCACTGGGGTCCACTCTACATGCAGACAACAGTGGCCCTGGATACAAATTACAAATTACAAATATTTATTAGCACAAACTCATCAACAATAAATGGTTAAGGCTCATGGTATATTAATTACATAGCTGATCATACATAATAAGTATTGCAAATAATGACTATATTAATATGTAATATTATAAACAATGATTATGAATTAGACATAATGACAATTTTATAGAGTTTGTTCTGCTTTACGCAGGTTCAGACTGTCTGAAATGAAAGAGGAAGTCAATTTTAGGATTGTGTATGAATTATTATTTAATAAAAAGATTACATTATTTTCATTTTTTTGAAATTTTGTAGGATCAACGATTATGTTTGAAACTTTTTGGTAAAATATGGCCCTTTTAGTTGAGTATTTTTCACAATGTAAAAGAAAATGTTACATCTATCAGTCTTCCTGGTGAAGACATAGGACAAAAAAATCATTATTATTTTTATTGCAAAATACCAAAATTGTGCCGTTCGTTTGCCAAATTTTGGCAGTCAAATCCTTCAGACCACCATATTTCGTGAACTCTGGATTTAATAGTATGTAAAGAATTATAGCAAAATTCCATTTTTTTTTGCACATTAAAGGACACATTTTCATATTTTTACAAATACTAATGAAATATTTGTTATTGGGAAATAATGAGTGCTTGCAAGTACCACAAGGTCCACAAAATTATTTACATGAAAGTTTTTGGTCATATAGACAACATGGACAAACATTAATGTGGTAAATTATTTAAATGGTACTTGCACAAATGTTGCATGCGCTCTATATCTGGGGGTCCAAAAACTATATAACTATATTTGAATTTTCAAACGAAAAAGAAAAAAAGGTCATAAATTAATTGGACAATCAGTCACAATTAATAAGTTTACAGTCGTATAAATATATAAGAGAAATTCTAGTATGATGTGCTTCTTTTGCTTTTATCAGTCAGGGGACTTACTTAAATGAGTGATTTTCTAAATCACTGATTCAAGTAACATTATGTCCATAAAGGTTGGAAGTAAGGGTTGTCTTTCTTTAATAATCACCTATTTCAGTACATGTAGTACAAATTAATCACTAGACTAAGTGATTTAATTTTATTGTAGCTTTAAATATAGAATACTAATGATCCAGGGACTAATTATGTTGCTAAAATTATCAGAACCAACATCTGTGTTGATAGGATGACCGGGTCATGTCAGGTGATGATCTGACCTTGTACTAAATCTAGGATAATGACATAAAAATCACTTGTTTAAGTATCATACCTCAATTTCCTTAAAAAAAAATCACTTCTTTAAGTATCATTATCTTAATAACCCCCACTAATTTCAACACCCCTGAACAGTGAAATTTTTATCGTGAACAGTAGAATTTTATTACATAATCTATAAGAAGAAACCTTGAATTTAACAGGAAAAATACTCCCATTGCTGGGAAAAATCTGTTAAGAAAGTATCAGTTCATTATGTAAAGCCATTTTTATAGCATTTTTTCAACTAAAATAGAATTTGCAGCTAAATGATTACATCAAAGGCATAAACCTTGCTGCTTAAAAGAAGCAAAAAGCTCATTTTTTTCAATTTTACTAATGAAAAGATGTGATCTAAACCTATGTGCTTAAAATTTTGGTAAAACTACAAAATCACAATTTGTGACAAAACTTTGAATTTGCTACTTAAATAAGTGATTTTAAAATCACTTATATCAATAAGTCCCCTGACTGTTTATAAACAACAGAGTGGTAAAATCCTCAATATCTGTACTTAGTGCAGACTAACACGACTAAGAGATGGACATATTAATGGTTGTTACAATTTACCTCCCACAAATCCATATGTATCATAACCTACGTGCAAACGCTATATGGATTTCGATGTGTTAAAATTGAAATTAAAAAAAAAACACAGAATCGTTTTTCCTATTGTATTGAATAAAAAATAATCAATGTATTAGAGCTTGGAAGATTTGTAAAATTAGAATCAATAAAATTCCACTAAATACCATGAATGAACCTCCCAAAATATATTTTATATTGATGTAAATCAAAATAACCTCTTTTTAGCTCACCTGGCCTGACTGCAAAAATGGAAGGTCGCGGACCTCGGACCACCGCTAATTTGAACCCCTGAGTTATTGCCCTTTTAGTCAATTTTTAACAATTTTTTGTAAATTTTTGTAATCTTTTACAAAAATCTTCTCTGAAACTACTGAGACAAATTTAACCATACTTGGCCATAATCATTATTAGGGTATCTAGTTTAAAAAAAATTTCCGATGACCCCGCCTTCCAACTATCATGGCCGACTTGGTTAAAAATAGAACATAGGGGTAAAATGCAGTTTTTGGTTTATATCTCTGAAACTAAAGCATTTAGAGCAAATCTGACAGGTAGCAAAAATGTTCATCAGATTTAGATTTATCTGCCCTGAAATTTTCAGACGAATCCGACAACCCGTTGTTGGGTTGCTGCCCCTGAGTTAGTAATTTTACAAAAATTTTGCAGTTTTTTTTGTTATTATCTTAGATATCATTATAATATCTAATATCTAATACTATTAATTATGATTTTAACCTTATTTTACATGATTTCCAAAGCATCAGTAAATACAGCTGAGCAATACAGGCTCTTGAGAGCCTCTAGTTTAAGTGAGTTGAAGTGACAATTCAGCTTTTTTCTTGTTGACAGGCATACATGTACCTACTCAAGTATTGTCAAATAATACTCCATATATTTCACCTCTCTTTTCAGATTTACCTTCTCTGTAAAATGTACAGTAGTAATTGATTGAAGATTTTAAAGAATCTTTTTGAATACAATGGTAATGCAGAGAATAAACTTTTGTTTTGGAAAGACTTTGTACAGAATAAAACAAAAATGGAATCCAGTTATGACTTGGTGTAAATATTCACACATGCTCAGTTCTGTTAGGGCGCCATGTTGTATGTTAAAGACCAGGAAAGGATTACTATTATCCCAATTAACTGTGAGGTGTAGGACTCTTCAGACACATGTTCATGCAGAAACTGCTATAAATTCAGGCAGACATTGTAGACCATTACAGAAGTGTTATATGAGAAATGGACTCTTTATTTTTACACGAGAATATGCCTCCTTACAAAATGTAGACGATGGCCTCTTGATAAAGTATTTGGACAGTTTGAATGTGGAATATAATGATATTTTAGAATTATACAGGACAGGAAAGAAAACAAAGGAAATGGGTTCTAGAAGAGTATTTTTAGAACCAATTGTGGATGTTTATAGTGGAATGAAAGAAAAATATAATGAATTAGAGGAATTAAAACTTCTTGTTGAAGGTAAGCTTATTTATGGCTTAAACAGATTTGTCATGTTTGTCATGTATTATCTCTTCATTAACAGAAAAAGAAAAAAAAAATCACATTGTCCCAAAATATTAATATAAATGAACATCTTTGGTCGGGTTGTTGTCTTTTTGACATATTCCCCATTTCCATTCTCAATTTCATTATAATCTGCATATACCACCTTCATAAGTTTGGGCATATATGTTTTTGATTGACATCCAGGTCAAAAGATCATTTCAACAATTGAACTTCACCGAATAAATTACCATGAGATGGTCATGATATACCTACATACATGTATTTCTTGTTTGCATGAAACATATGTACATGTAATGGCTTACACTCTTCATTTCTGAGATCTCAATATCATGAATATAATCATCTTATATTTCTCACATCATTCTTATTACATGTATTAAGAGCATCCTCTTAATCTAAAATCTATATAATATATATCATGTTTAAATATCTGCCTTTACATAATGAATATTACACATATTGCAAAATTTTAAGGTTGTAGTTTAACAAAAAAAGTGGATATAACTACAAATGTATATGATTTTTAAGTTTTACTTTTATTATTTTTTTGTCTGTCATGTTTGTTATACCATTAACTATGTTTATTCAGAAGATGAAGAAATGAAGACAATGGCAGATTCTGAATTTAAGGCAATAAACCAACAGATAAACGACATGAAACAACAGGTTAGTGACTAATCATCAAAAGATGAATGTTTATAAAACATATCAAACATGTCCAATCCATATCCTACAAAAGTTAAACATCTTTTTACATGCATCCTCCCAAACAAAAAACTCCAGAAAACATTATTTTTTTGCATCATACTACACATGAATATACATTGAACACACATTTTTCAATTTTTTTAAAAATAGACAGCTGAAGGTTACTTTAATTAACTCCCATTTGACATGTTTGAGATATATGAATTTGAGCATGTTGAGGATGTTTTCTAATACATTAATTTATTAAATATTAAAATGACATTTTAGTTTTATTCAATGAACATTTGTGAAAGAGTAATAAAATGGTTAATACAAGACAATTTGTCATTTTGAATTTCTCTCTTTTGAATGGAAGAAATAATATATATACAAAGTCAGGATATTACAACTGAAAAGACTATCAAACTTATCTGACTGTTACCATAGATATCTTCCACATATCAGAACACTATCGATGCTGTCTTACTGTTTAATATATGAACTGCGTCGGATAGAAATCGACCTTATGCAAATGAATATCAATACATCTGTTAACCTATTTCAGGTTGAAAAAATCTCTACAGAAAATCTGTATACATAACTGTTTGAAAATTGAGTTGTTATAAGAACCCTACAAGTCGGACTAAAATTCATCTTTTATTTCATATTTTAATGTTCCTAAATCAATCAAAGTCTATTCATGTAAATGTATAGGTGAACTCTAAGGTAGATTTCTATCCAACACAGCTCATATATTCTTACATCTGAAAACTAAATTTCTGCATGACATATTGTTCAGGATTCAAGATTTGATACATTCTGCTTTATTAGATTTTAGATATCCTTGTACCCGACCTGAAGTATGATAAAAATGATGCTATATTGGAGATAAATCCAGGAGTAGGTGGGGAGGAGGCTAAACTATTTACCTTAGACTTGTGTAACATGTACCAGAAATATATAAGTTATAAAGGATGGTCAGTTGAGTTAGAGACTTCTCAGTCAAAGGAGAGTGGTAAGAATGATATATTTTATTACTACAATTAACACACATAAAGTAAGAAGAGGACTGCTACACAGTAGCCATATTTCCCTGGTTTCCCACACAATTTGTACCAGTATGTTGAAGCCCTCAAATGCACTGATTTTCCTGTAATTGCAATAATTATTTTAACATTTTGGTCTGTCATGTCGAGATCGCAATAATAAACATGATAAATGCACACAATCATTTCTGAATTTACAGTAATATGAATCTTTCATGTGAATTTCCTTTTCACACCATTAAGGCATTTGTAACTGAATGTTGAAGCCAAACAAACCTCAATTTGTAGTCATATTTTCAAATTTAAATTAGATATGTGTAAACGTAGTATAGATATGTCATGTTTATTGTATGGAAATCCATCAACAAACATAGTAAAGGAGTACTTTCAAAACTATTGCCTTGTAAATTACATTTTCTATGGTAATTACTAACATGCATATCTTCCAGTGGTGATCAATTTCTAATTTGGCAAAGATATTGGTACAAGATGTACTATCATAACTATCTTTTATATGAATTTCATTAAAATGAATTGACATGTTAGGATAAGAGTGCTTACAAGATTTGTTTTCTATGTAGTATACATTTCTAGAGGCCACAAATCCCATGAAAGATAATCTAGCATACTTATTGGAATATGAATAATATTAATCTTCCATATATATATTTCAATTGAGAACAACACCTGAGCTTGAATATATGAAATTTACAATAGCTACTTCCATTAGGAAAAAATGCATATATATATAAATTTGTTTTTTATATTACATATTTTTTTAGTAATTCAAAAGATTTTTTCACACAGTTTGTTATCTTCAAATCATTATTTATGTGCAATTTGTGATTTAAATTAAGTTTATAAAATATTGAAAGCATTAGTTTTCATGTTTTCTGATTACAAAAAGAAATACAAACAGGTTAAATTTGTACTAACACCAATTTTGAATGTATATATATTACTTTTAGTCAAAGACAGTTCCTAAAATCGGTATGTTATGGTTTATGATTATATATATCACTTTAGACAAAGCTTCAGATCTACAAGGGCTTGCCTATAAATTAAGTGTTTGAACTTTAAAAAAAAAATCATTACATGTACATGTTTCCGCAGAAGCACATGTAAAAAAATAACAGTTTAGCAAATTAGAACCATGTTTATCAATGTGCCATTTTTCATTATTTTAGGTGGTTTGGCGTATGCTAGATTATTAATATCTGGTTATGATGTTTTTAAAACTTTAAAGTATGAATCTGGTATTCATCGTGTTCAGCGAGTTCCTGAGACAGAACGTGGTGGGCGTATCCATACAAGTACATCAGCTGTTGCTATTTTACCACAACCAACAGAGGTTTGTATGCGTTATGCCTACAGTATATAGTTTATGAATGTCTATTCTAAATGATGGTGATAGATCTATAAAGTAATGGAAATCAGTCAATGGCAATATAACAAATCAAACATGATACCTTTCTTTTTTGCCCTTTTTTTTGCTTTGAAGGAGGGGTGTATGCTGTTTAACCTCTGTCAGTCCGATCATCCATCCCATGAAATAACGTCACATTTTTTCCTGGGACTACAAATCAGAGCTTCCTGAAATTTGTCATCAGTCTTCTTGTGATAATGCTTTACCGTGTAATGCAGATTCAGATTCATCAATCCCCAACTTCCTGTTTACAGAATACTTATATACTCTAACACATAATTGCCATGTGTAAAATTTTCATAACATTTTTCTATGGAATTACAAATAAGAGCTTCCTGAAATTTGTCATCAGACTTCATGTGAACATACTTAAGGATGTTCGCTACTTTGTTTCAAAATAACAAGCTTTTTAATAGACTGTTATAAATTGAAAGTATATGAATAAAGGAACTGAAAAAGCAGAAAAAATTGAAGGGTCCGTGTGCTTGTTTTCGAGATATAAGCCATTGAAATTTTGGCGGGAAGTGATTCTCTCTAGACTTTTCATACATTTAACATTGACACCTTTTTTCTTTCAAAAACTATGAAAAATAACAAGGATTTTATAAGATTTTCAAATATGGCCTTTAAACTATATGCAATAAAATTATGAAAAGAAAAGTAGGGTTTTGTGGGCAAAATTTTTAATGGCACTACATGGATAAAATCAGAGGATTCCGAATATCTGGCAAAAATTCAAAAACAAGAGGAGCGAACATCCTTAACAGTGTGATGCATTTTCAGATTCATTACTCCTCAATTCTTAAATTGAATCTTGAATTCTTAAAGGTGGTAATTATTAGCGAGCAGTATCTTACAGTTTCACTTGTTTTCTTCTTTGTTTTCTTTGTCTCTCCATCTTGATCTATTTTATTCTTCCCTCTACCCCTCTCACTTTATACTTTATAACCTCCATTTTCCACTTGTTATCTTTTTTAACTATTACCACCCAATACCTTATGGGGTTCTGTTTCTTTTGCATAAGCAAATCAAGATTTGATTTGAAACATTATTTAAGTCACTTTTACCTTGTATTGATGCTTGATTGAATAGTATTGATTTTTATGTTCAGGTTCATTCTCCTGGAACCCAAAATGGTGTGCATGTATCTGATATTTAAAAATTACACTTCCTTACCAGTATATAGTCAATGCATTACAATTTTGATTTGGACTAACAGTGATGTTTTACTTATCTTGTCAGTTACTTATTGAACAGTATATCTTGGAATATTAGAATCACAATGACTGCTATTTACCATCAACTAGCTTATCTTAAGATATACACCAAGGTCCAGCAACTCTTTTCACAAAAAATCTTACCATTAAAAGTTATACTGAAATGTTCATGACTTAAAATTTTTTTTTCACTCGTAAGATTTTTTGTGAAAAGAGCCCCTGATGGTAGCTTTTTAACATGGTTCTTTTCAGGTTAGGATATTCATTAGTTACAAATATCACTCATGAGATATAGCGTTTCAACCTAAGTCATGTGACTGCCACCATTTGCATTAGACAACAACAAATGAAGGAAAATAACTAATAATTCCTTCAATGTGGAAAAGCCTGCCAAATTTTAATGAGTTATCTTTACAACATCTTTATTATCGATCAATAAATTTGCTTACAAGTAGTTTGCCGCTGTAAAAAGGACTATTTTGGTTAAAGGAAAGAAAAAATGCTGTATTATCTCTTTTAATTTATTAGTGGTTACAATTATAGTAAAGTATATATAATAACTTGTATTATTAAAAAATTCATAACTCTTTTGTAGCAAATGTTATTATTTAATCACCCATGTCTATTTATTCTGTTTCAGATTGATATAATAATAAATCCTAATGACCTACATATAGACACATTTAAATCTAGTGGTCCTGGTGGTCAGAGTGTCCAGAAAAATGACACTGCTGTCAGACTTACACATACACCTTCAGGTAAAATACAAATGTACTTCTGTCAGACTTACACATACACCTTCAGGTAAAATAAAATATTATATTATACTGGCGTGAAATATCACGGTGAATCCTGCAATTTGATTGGTTACTTTGACAGGGAATATGAACCTATATACCCTGTGAACAAAATAGAAGATCAGAATGGTTATTAATGTTGAAATCAGGACACTCCAGTATTATATAATTGTTATTCGGGCTTCCCAGGGGATATGAGCTCAATTCCCTGTTAGTACTCTACAGTCCCTTTGCCGACAGCTCAGGAGATATAAAACACTTGCAGGGAGTATGGCCCCATATCCCCTGTGAAGATCCAGAATAAAATATAACATTAAATGTATATTTGGATACTTATTAAAGTTTAATTAGTTTGTTGTTTTTGTATCATGTTTTATATAAAAATACAAATTATAACTACCAGTCCTGAAAGTATGAAAGGCTTTAAAAGAAAATGAAAGAAATTAATGTATATTCATTAGTTTTACATTATAGAATATTAAAACCTATGAAATAAAAAAGAATAAGTACATGTACTATAGATAACAAAGCCACAAACAAATTCATTAGGCAAAGAAGGAAAAAGAAAAGCACATCCGAAACATAAATATTAAAAGACAACAAAAGACCACAAAACAGTAAACAGTACACAGGAAATTATAGATTTAGCAACCCCAACCTCACCAAAAACTATGGGTAACCTGAGTTGCTACAGTGTTCACTCTAGCATGTTTAAATTGCACTATAACATTTAAAATAGCATGGTGCTAAATAGCCCTAGCCAGAATACGGTGACAGGTATGGAAGAGTGAGCAGTTCCTGATTTGTAAAAGGCACTCATCTAGTTGCTCGAGATAAGTAAAAATATAGGGATAATCATTTATCAGGTATTAAAGGACAACCATTGTGGTCATCTTTAATTAGCATTTTCTATAAATGTCAACATGCAAGAACTTTATAAATTAAAGATAGCATGTTTGTAACACTATATATCTTTGTTACCTTTCAGTACTTACCACCATATAATGGTTAAACCTTTAGTAATTTAATTTAGAATTCATTAGTTTACCAATAATTTAACACGATATAGACCAAAAGATTATTTTTTTTTATCCAGTTTAATCAGTAATGGCAATGATCAAGAATTGTTTTTACTTTATTTGTTAAAACGTTTTTCAGTATTTGATAAAGCTTACAAATATTACTATGAATTTATTATTATCTATAGATTATCAATGGTTTTTCAAATGAAAAGATAATTTTTCTCAGCTACAATCTCATGGAAAGGCGACATCCCTGAGAAGAGATGTGGCAGAGAAACACCCTTCAGTTTGAAAGACCACTGATAATCTGTTTATCACTATTTTGCCTATGATGTTGTTGAAAACATTACACATGCCCTTAGTTTCTAGCAATAATGTTCCATCTCAAGTGAGTAGCATGATATGAAAAATTATCACAAAAAAAGATCAAAGGAAAAATACACAAAATAGCGATAATCATGGGATATCAATTTTTGTAGATTTCATGGTTAAAGGTGAACCACAAATTAAAATGTTTGAACAAAATACAAATTTTTCTATAAGGTTGTATGCAGACTAATACAACACCATGAAATAAGTTATCCATGAAAATGCAATGTTCTTTCAATCCACAGTATAAAATTTACAAATTTATTGTTTCAGGTGTTGTTACTTCTAGTCAGGAAAGTAGATCACAAATACAGAATAAAAAGAGTGCAATGAACAGATTAAGAGAAAAGTATGTTTTACCTGATTCAGGAGGGTTGAGTGTCAGTTCACTTTTGGTATCCTTGAAAAATAGACAATAGCATCTCACTATTTGGTTCTTAATGTCGTTATTATTTCTTCATGATTTATAATAAAAGGGGTTTATGTTTTGTTAGTGAATTTAGAGTTTATCCTTTTTTACTTACCTTTAAGTTAAAAGCAGCTATTATGTTCATTTTTATGACAGGAATTATGCAAAAAGCTTGTTTTATGAATGAGTATACATGTATATACAACCATTACACATTTAAAGTATTCTTTACCCCTAGATCTTATAAAAATTTGTTTTAGCTTGATTTCTTCTAGCTAGTCGATTTCAGACCTTGAGCAAGTTTGTTTCATGAGACTATGGTCAGTTCCTTGATACACATTTGAATTAAGATGTACTTACTCTATGCATAGTTGTTGGTGAAATGTTACAAAAACTTACATTTTGTGTTATAAAAAAGCATATTATTCACCATATTAAGATAAAATTCAACACAAAATAGTTTAAAAAATAACTGTGACTTTGTGTTTAAGAACACCAATAACAGTGATGTTCCTTTGCTTTGAGTGCTGTCAAAGTGTATGAAAGGTTTTGTAGCATGAAATAAAAACACCACAACCCTGTCTTTTCCTTTAATTCTTAATTTTATAACCAGTATAAAATAATTTTATAAAATTAGACTATGGTCAGTTAAAAAACAACGTAGACTTAAGCAAATCCCACATCTTCTTTAATTCAAATACATTGTGTGATAAATACTGTTTTCAAGTCACTATGATAAATTGAATAAATTATAAGAATATGCAAGATACTAAAGTTCATTTTACCTACCCTTGCATAGTATTTTATTAGAATCATTATTTCTGTGCATATTATGTGTTATTAATACTTGGATATCAACTTTGAAACAGTAAAAATCGTTTTTTAAGTGAGATTTTTGTACCTAGAAAATACTTGTATCAGTTATATGTTAAATAACGCAAAGTTTAAGTAGAAACCCAAGGGCGGTCAGAGAAAATAAGGACATATAATTTTCCTCAGAACAGAGTGACTGATCATAGAATTCATCATACTTCTAATATCCAGGGCATCTTAAGTCAAGAAGATGTTCCGGCTGAATTAATAAACTTATTACATGAGGTTCCTTGCCTGGAAGAAGAACCTTTCTACTTTGTACTTGAATTGATGTTTTTAGTGAAAACAGACCATACTAGTCAGTCAAATGGTCACACATGGAGATTAAACTGTAGTACAATAAAGGTTTATCACTTTCCAAAGAGAGGTGAAAGAAACCAAAGGGACATGTCATACTCATAAGTCGAAAACAAACGGACAATGCCTTGGAAAAAATAAAAAAAACGATGTAGACTTAGGCAAATCCCACATCTTCTTTTATTCATATACATTGTGTGATAAATACTGTTATGAATTACATTATAACTATATATTTACTTATTTTTCAAAATACAATTAAAATAATTTTCAAGTCACTATGATAAATTGAATAAATTATAAGGTTATGCAAAATACTAAAGTTCATTTTACCTACCCTTGCATAGTATTTTATAAGAATCATTATTTCTGTTCATATTATGTTATTTAACATGTAACTAATACAAGTATTTTCTAGGTACAAAAATCTCACTTAAAAAACAATATTTACTGTTTCAAAATTGATATATCTAAGTATTTTTTTCTTTTTTCAGGTTATATGAGATTGAATTTAATGCACAAATGAGCAAGATGAAATCTCAGCGCAAAGTACAAGTAGGAACCAAAGGGCGGTCAGAGAAAATAAGGACATATAACTTCCCTCAGAACAGAGTGACTGATCATAGAATTCATTATACTTCTAATATCCAGGGCATCTTAAGTGGAGAAGATGTTCTAGATGAATTAATAAACCAATTACATGAGGAATCTAGAAAAGAAACTTTAATTGAAATGTTACAGGAATTCGAGTCAAAGGGAACAATGTAATGTTAATTTTTGTATTAAAGTCAAAATAATGATTTACATCTTGCATTGTTTTTATTATCAAATTTTTAGGTTGCAAATTAACAACTTTCATTGTCACTGGCATTTTAAAAGTTGAGCATCTAGATATTGTTTAATATATATTTCTTATGTACTTCTTAATATTAACATGAAAATGGATATATCTGAATATTGATCAATAATGGTCTTAATGTTCTAAAGTAATAACTTTATATTGCAATCACTTAGTCTATATGTTCAACAGTCCATTCAACAAATATTTTCTTCACATTTTTCCCTTGTACTCCTTAGCAGAATAACTTCATATTTGGTTAGCAACTTAACAGTGATAACATGTGAATGCTTTTTCAGATCACACGCATACCTCCTGTTTGCCAATACAATGAATTTGCAATATATTGAATGAAATTAATAGTTATGTCACACATTTTTCCGGTACTACAGAACAGGATGACTTCATATCTGGTCTGCATCTTGAAAGTGGTGACTTGTCATGTGTAAGCCAATTTCAGTCTGTCAAACACTTACTTCCTATTTACAGATACTTTCAATTGTTAGTGTGGGTACGCTTAGCATGACAACATATGCAATTTCTAGTTTGCCTATTTGCTACTGGACATAAGCAAACAGTAATCAATCAATCAGTTTTGTTTGCTTTGACTGCTGACATGACTTTCTTCACTTTAAAATTTTAAAACTGATAAAAAAAAAGCTGAATATGCAAAAAAAAATAAATTATAAGCTGTTTTGGATTGTCATTAAAAAAATCCTATTTTGCTGGGCTAAAGTTTTAGTTTACTTGACTATGAGGGCCACATGTCATTTTTTGTCAGTTTTGCATCTATGATTCTCAGAAAAATTTGAGCCAAATACCAAAGTTTGAAGACGTAATCATTAGTTTGTCCTCACACAAATATGCCATTTTGGTTAGAATCCAGATATGTGTAAGCAGCTTTTCTTGGAAACCATTTCACATGCTGACATAGTATTTCACATGCTGACATAGTATTTCACATGCTGACATAGTATTTCACATGGATGATGTTTGTTACTAGTAGTTCTTGCACAAATTTGCTATTTTGGTTAGTATCCAAATACATGGAAAACATTTCACAGGCTGATGCTATAATGGCTGTTCTTTAAAACAAAATTGGAACAGAGTTTAAAATTGGACCATATGGGAATCATATGTTAACACTTTCTTATGAAATGCCTTCAAACTAAATCAGGATACGATAGTCCTTTCTCAAGTCAGCTGTTGTCAGGAAGCATAGAAGTAAATAAATGGTATTGGAAATACATGTTTTTGTTTATCTTAAAACACATAATGATAAAGAGCCTGAAGGTTTATATTACATAACATATATATGCATGCTAAGTCACTGAATGGAGTGGTAAAGTTAACTGGTTACACAATAAGGGCCTAAAATTGGTCTAGAATAAAAACTTGCACAATGAAGCCTTTTTTTATGTAATTCCATCAATAACTGAATCCAGTTTCATTTGTACATCAATAAAAAACAATCGGGTCCAACCCTACAATTTTGATTCTCAGAGGCATTGTTTCTATTTATGGATAGTGTGTTAATTAACCAATAAAAATAATTTCTGAAGAATACACAAGTTTTTGTCACAACAGTTGATGTCCAATCACCTTTTGAGAAGTGAAACATGTTACTGTAAATTCAGAAATTATTGCGTGCATTTATTATTGCGATTTTGCCATTTTAGACTAAAATGCGATTTTAACTTTTGCGATATTTAGAAAAATACTGTTTAATTCATATTAAAAATTTCAAAATGCGAGTTTAAATTATTGCGATTATAACCCTGTCGCATTTTTCGCAATAATAAAAACATCGCAATAATTTCTGAATTTACAGTATTTTTTTCAATAAATTTTGGACCAAAATATTCTACCAGATCATTGGTTATTACTCAATTAAGTATATGTGGTGACCTATAGTTGCTTGCATCCATGCCATTTGGTGTATAGGTTTCTCATTGACAATTATACCACATCCTCTTTTATATATATATACCAAGGGAGACCAAGAATTACAAACTTTTATAACAAATGCTAACAATCAACACCCTACCATCAAATTCACCCATGAAACATCTAATTCCACCATAAACTTCCTTGATACATCTAGCACCCTCTCTGTAGGTATAATAAACACAGATATATACTCTAAACCTGCAGATACTCATCAATACTTGTCGCCTGAAAGTTGCCATCCTCCACACTGCACGAAGAGCATTCCATACAGCCAAGCTCTCAGAATAAGGCGAATCGGCTCCTCTGAAGACACTGCAAAACAACGTCTGGGGCAGCTCAAAGGACATTTGAAAAGAAGGGGATATAAACACAAAAACATCAAAAATAGTTTTCGAAAAGCGGAATCCATCCCCAGAAGCAGTCTGCTAACTTACAAAGAAAAACAGAAAAGTAAAAGAATCCCATGTGTGCTCACCTACCATCCATGCCTGAGAAATAGTTTCAAGACCATTCGTGATCATTGGACAGCAATCGAGAAACATTCTAAGTTATCCAAAATCTTTCCTGAGCCTCCCATGATTGCCTTCATACAACCTAACAGCCTGAGAAATATACTTGTCCGTGCTGACCTTTCCAAACCTAACCATACTGTAGGTAATTGCCAGCCTTGTGGGGATAAGCGCTGCAAATGTTGCAACCAATTGCAGCATTCATCAACATTTCACAGTAAGACCACAGAAAAGACATACAAGATCTTCTGCAATGTCAACTGCAAAAGCTCAAACGTGATTTACGTTCTTGAGTGTCCTATATGTGGTCTCCAATATGTTGGTGAATCTATGCAGCCATTTCACAAACGCCTTAATGGCCACAGGAGTGACCTCACAAAAAAAACGTATATTCCTGTCAGCCAACACTTCAGGTTACCAGATCACAATCTGAAAGATTTTGATCACATGAAGATCCTTGTGATCGAACAGGATTGTACATGGCAAAATAGGCAAAGAGAGAATCGGGAGAAGTTTTGGATAAAAACACTGGGTGTCCTCCATCCAGATGGAATCAATAGAAAGAAATAATTAAATTTACAGTCTAATGTTTATATTATGATATTCAGGATTTTGGATTAAAATCAATCGACCAAAACTTACCTGTATTATTATTGATCTATGTTTACACCTTATACATTATATATCAGTATTGTTAAAACTTTTAACACTGAGGAAGGCCATTTGTTGAGCCGAAATATTTGCAATTATTGTATAATTTATATCATCTGTTCAGTTTTTCCATCTTTGTGCGATGATATTCAACACTTTTTAGTGTTTTGTTTTCCATCTATTTATCGGTATTGTTACACAATCTTTTAGACTCATATATATATACAATATATATATATATATATATATTCGTATTGAATCAAATGTAAAATGGATGGGAGGTTTCAGTGGCAGTTTCAATTTTGGACAAGGAGGCATCCTCGCAACTCACTTGAATAAACTCTATGTACAAAACCTAATTGAAGAACTAAAAACTTACTCAATTGGACCTCATCTTGGAAATACCCAAAGGGCTTGTAGGCTCACCTACCTTTGCAGATATATACAATACTGCCCTGTTAAGTTCAGATCCACTTGAAATGAATTAATGATTGACATTATTGCCAGGTATGCTGATCAACACAAATAAAACATTAATCCTACCAAAACTAAAGTTATACAATGTAACTGCTAGATTATTACACTAACTGTCAGTGGTTTCTAAAGGGAAATGTAATATAACCATTACCATCTACAACACATCTACATGATATTGGAATTCAAAGATTGCATACATTAGAGAATGAAAGTAACATATATCAGATGATAAAACTAGTAGAGGAACAAAATTCGCCTTAATGACCTGCTTACAGGATACATACATCTATGGGCCAGAAGTTTTACCCATGACGAAAATCCAATTTTGATGTTGGGGGAAAATGTAATAGGAATACTTCACGACAAGTACAATCTTTGCCACAGAAAACCTCTCACAACATCTATATATATATATAATGCCAGTAGGTGCCATTCGAATAAGGAAAGAAATACAAAAGAGACAGTTATTCTTATTTATTTATATAATCGGCAAAAAATAAAACAATTCAAGAATTAATAGAGCGTCAACAATCAATTAATTTTGACTGCTATTTCTATACACATGTGTTATAGTAATCTCAGATTTTGATAATATTAAAAATATTCTACTGTGCAATGGAATTACTTCAACAATATGATAATTTACCCATAAACCTAAACGGTAGAGAACTTTGTGAATTCTACACTAGCAGACTACTGGATAAATTATGCTCTCTGTAATAACGCAGAAGGAAAGACTTTAAAACTATCTGTCTGTAAAACATCTTGTATTGAGAACACCACATACTAGTATTATATAAAGAACATTGAAAACATTCGGTTCTGATTGTTTGCATGGTCTCATAAAAAGTAGGGTATGAGTAGAATAGGCATTGTGCAAACCGACAGATATACGTTAGAACCTGCTTGTCCACTGTGTAACCACGAACAAGAAGATCTCCATATGTTACCTGCATGTCCAGCACTTAGTGATGCTCGAAAAGAAACTTTTCTGCCAATGAAAAAGTCCATAGTTAAATATTTATTTATTGAATTACATAGAATACGACAAAATTTAGTTTACGGCCAGGAGCATGTAGTCCATTACCGTCTACCATGGTTCGCGAAACTGAACATGCTCACTTAAGATTACGTAGTACCTGATATCATTTAGGTTTTCACCATAATTACCATTTACCAAAGCTTATGTAATTCTAAGTGTTAGATATTGTATGTATCTTTTATTTGCCTTTGCCAGACTTGTCACCTATTTCCTGTTCTTTTGATTCATATTTGACATTTAAAATAACTTTTCTTATACAGAAACACGATAAAAGTATCTTATGTACTTGTTAGTAAAATTGCACATATATCAAAGACATTTAATTATACATGTCTAT